TTAAGGGATGGTGCCTAGAAGAGTGGCTTGACCTGAAAATTCATTTCCCTAGACTTTCAATAATTAGGGGGGATGGGACAGATAGATATAATTCCAACCTAGTATCCTGTGTCTGAGAAGAGGACAGTGACCAGCTGCAATCTCCTGAAGGCTTTCCCTGCAGAAATCAAAATCTTCCTTGGAGAGGGGTGGAGGAGTATCCAGAGGTTGCTATCTGTTCACTCGTCCCTATGAGCCACCTTAAGATAGACTCGTGTAGACCCATATAACCTACAACTGGAGTCAAGGATGGGCAGAGCAGCTGTAGCACAGAATGACCTCAGCCCCTGGGCAGCTCCGCATTCTCTAAGGAAAATAAGTGCAGGTGGATCCAAACCAAAGAACCTCATCTTCAAATCAGAGTTTGAGAGCTCTTTCTGCAGTGTAGGATGTCCCAAAAGTCTTAGTGAAGTTTTAAATGTATGCTTAAAACTGTACTAAGGTTTTTGGGACACTGTACTATGCTCTCTCATAGTTCAGTGACCTTCTAGTTCAGTCCATATCCCTCCCTCCAAATAGGCATGTGAGAGCTAGTCAATCCAACAACAGACTTTTATTTAATTAAAACAAGGCCAGCTAAAACAGTCAAGTCACTCAAGTATTCACTGGGATTATTCTATCTCAAATCAGATAATCTTAGATGTCAAATCTCCTATCTTTTAAGTGAATTGATTTCCTGGTACAAGAATACTTCCACAAAGCACTAATCTATAAAACACATATAATGAAACAATGTTACTTCAGACAGTTAGCTACATCAGAGCATTTAATGAACAAGCATTATTATGTCTTTACTATATGCCAACCACTGGAGATAACAAAACCAAAAGTGAGTTTACCTTGAATTTATGATCTAACCAAGGAACACAACAAGTATATATATTTGTTCAGTCATTTTGGTCATGTCTGACTCTTTGTGCCCCTATTTAAGGTTTTCTTGACAGAGATACCAGAGCGGTTTGCAATCTCCTTCTTCAGTTCATTTTATAAATGAGGAAACTGAAGGTTAAGTGACTTGCCCAGGGTAACACAGCAACTAAATGTAGAAAGTGGTACTTGGAATAAAGGTAGAGATTCTAATAGGGGAAATTGAAGAGGGACTATTATAAATGGGAAATACCATTAGGCTAGGACAGCCAAAATCCAGGCAATAAAAAGCTTAAAATCAGCCTGAGGTTCCTAAAATAATCATAGGAAAATATGGGGAGTGTGCTGCACTGGGCAGAATTGTACTGGACATACTGAGACCTGAGATGTGGAGCTTCAGGGAAACTCCTAAAATTTACAGGTGGTAATCTGCCAGCAAAGGAGAATTGATGGCTGCAATTGTTTGATGGAGCCGAGAAAGATAGAGTGGACACACTAAAAGAAAGGTTAGCACATGATCAGATCTGGGGCAGCTTCCTAAAGGAGGAGATCCAAATGTGAATACGGTTTCTCCAGGCACTAGGGATGGGTTTGATGAGACTGAGCATCAAGAAAGAATCCAGGACACCCTGGAAAGTACAGAAGAGGGAAATCATTTAAGATCAGCAATGGCTCTCAGACGAGTTAGGACATTATCTATCTATCTGTAGAAGTATATATACATACATATGTACCTATATCTATATGTATATTTGAGGCAGCATAGCCTAGTCAGTTAACAAGCATTTCTTAAGTGCTTTCTATGTGCCAGGCCCTATGCATAGGAGAGTTGGCCCAAGAGTCAGAAAGATGTGTGGTCCAAGTGCCACCTCTGACACATACTGATTGTGTGTCTCTGGGTAAATCACTTAATCTCTTTGTATCTCGGTCAACTCTTTAAGATAAGTTTTCTTAACTTGTTTTTAAAATATTTTGATAACTTTCTATTGGTTTTCTTTGTTATCCAAAAATCTTATTTTATGCATTTGAAAACCTTTTTCTCTTTATTTCACATATATAGATTACATATACATATCTTCATATGTAGAGTTTATATTCATATATACATGTACACTATCCACAGCTTGCAATGTACAATCTATCTCCTTGAGGAACAGAGATAGAAATGTTCAAATCACTACTATAGCCCAGAGGGGAGAGCAGTTGGGTTAGTGAAACCTGGAGCCTGAGCCTGGGGGTTTAAGAGTCAAATCTCCCTTTCCTCTCATACCCACCTTGAAGAAACTGGCAGAGTACAGCAATAAAAGTAACACAAGTCAATGAAAACCCCTCTTTGGATACTCTGATCCAGTTAATTGTGCACCTGCCTAGTAGTTGTAACTATAGGTCAGACATCACATTGATATAGTTTATGTTGATGCCAGTGAGTCAAAGTCAGGTCACTGAGAATGCTAGAACATATGTCAACTCTAGCAGCAACTTGGTGTCTAGAGTAGTTCCCTCTTCTCCATCCTAACCCAGAAACTACCAAAAAGTTACTGCAGGAACTCTAAATCCATGGCAACAAAAAGGGTTTAATAATTGTGACTTTAGGTATAAATCATCTCTTTCTGAAGATAGATTCATGAGACTGACTTTATGCTAAATTTAGATCACTTGTCTACTAGGTCTTTTTTCTCTTAAATAATGCCTATGAAAGTATCAAAGAACTTCAAAAAAAATAGCACCTCTTCTTCTGGAGCTGCACTTCCTCCTTGCTTCAAGGAGCAGTGGGGACTTTGGGCTGTGGATCAAGATAGAAGGGGTCACTGGAAGTGATAGAATCTGTGGTCGAAGGGTCAGCATTCAAGGGAAGAGAGGTTAAGATGCTGGAATGCACATTGTTTGGGGCGAATTTCTTGCTGCTGAGTTCCCCCATTGTTCTATGATGGCACAGTTGTGGCCATTGAAGGTTAGTGATCCCTGCCAGGACAAGATAGCTAGGGCCAAGAATATCATCTGCTAAGTATTCTGCCTTGCCCTGAGTCTGTCTCCTGTGGCATGAACCCGAGTGTCAGACCTAGGGAAGGTTCCAGCTCCTCATCAGAAGACCACTCTACTAGACGTGTATGAACAATAAATGGGTTGTGGAGTACTAAAACAATTCCAACTGTGCCTTTCCTGGGATTCATAGTTTTAAGGCAGCTCCTATGATGAGGAGAGGGGAAGGGAGCTCCTGAGGACTAGAAGGGCTTCAGATTCTTTGACGTTCTATTGCATTAAGCATGGTATATTAATTATTATGTGTCACTTGTTTGTTTTTGGTATCCAAAACATTTGTCATCCTCTATGGAGAACTAATTCCATTATGCCAAGGTCACATAACTAGGCTTCAAAGAAATAAAGCACATCCAAGAAGTCTGGCCAGTTGAGTTGGGAGCTCAGACACAAATTCTAATTGGGTTAGAATTCCCAATTCCACTGATTTCACATGCTCCTTGCCGAAAAGTTAGCTCTGCCCTGCAAGAGGTGAAGCGGAGAAATAGAAGGTCACTAACATGAAAATCATAGAGAGTACGGCATTTATGCCATGCATCGGCATAGGCAAATTCTCAGGATAACTATGAGACTCCCCAGGGCCCATATCCTTTTTGGGAAGCAAGATTGTGTTGAGCAGCTACCAACACCACCTGGTGGTGGCTAAAATAACAGTATGAAAAGCATTTTATTTAAAAACAAATTTGCTACTTTAAAATTATTTTCTTTCATTTTCTGGAATGTAGGTTTATCATTTTAAAGGTTACATATTTTCTTTAAATGGAAGAAAAATGGACACATTTCTACATATATAACATCTTTATTAAATACATTTTGTCAGGGGGAATGTCCTCAAGTCACAGTTTATATAAATTTATTAACAATATCAGAGAGGAAAATTTTAAATGTGATTTAAATGATCTCACTGAAGGATGAGAACACCTTTTAATCTACACATTGGAATGACCTAGCCACAATAGAAAATAAAGGCAAAATGTCTTTTTTGCAAAGGAAAGTTACATTAAGATTCCACTTGCAAATTATTTTATTGCAAAAATTCCTTTCCAAAGAAATGGATGTTCTTCTTTTTCCCTGACACCTATCCATACTTGAAGCAGTGGTAAATTCAGAAGAGGAAATCCAGTTTAGTTATTCCCTATGAAATATAAGGGATAGAGCTTTTGTTACATGGCACAGCATCAGAGGTTGGAGGAGGAAACGTTGGAATTTTAAGTGGTAGCAACCAACCATGAGAATGGATTGGCTTAAAACATATCTACTCCCTATTCATAGCATCTCAAGAGTTGTAGGGGACCTCAGAGGTAATCTAATCCAACTGGCACCTGAGAGAGATACCAGCACTATTCCCAATCTGAAGAAAACTTAGGATCATAGATCTAGAGAGCATGAGAAGGGGTCTCAGAGGTCACCTTGTTCAATGTCCTCATCTCATTCTCAAGATGAGAAAACTGAGGTCCATATTTGTCAAGCAATTTAGCCAAGGTCACAGAAGTGAGCAGCAGAGCTGGGATTTGAACCCAGGCTCTCAATCCAGCTCTTTTGTCCCTGCACCATGTTGCCTCTCCAACTATACAAGAACATGAAAAGGTAAATATCCTCCTTATTTAGAATATCATCTATTGGTTCCTAAGTGAGCTGTGACCAGTGCAAGATGAGGTCAATATGTCTAGCTGTATGCTAGCTGAAGTCTGAACACAAAGAGAGCTCAGGAAGAAAGGGGCAGGAGGTTACCAAGTGTGAGTTTAAATGAATAGAATTCCTTAAAACATTCATAGATCAGAGGTAAAAAAATTTGAACGTTGCCAGACACAAAGTAAATACTTGTTAATTGGACAAATTCTCACATATTTGTAGAACTCTAGATATTTCAAATGTTTTTGTACAATATACACTCTATTAATGATATTTTGCTAAGTTTAATATGCCATATATTTAATGCCACATTATCAAACTACTAAATGTGAAAGTAATAGCACTACAGTTTTGGTTAAGTTTTCAGTAAAAAGCTGTAGCTGTTTAAACAAGAGAGCAAAATATTGGGTTTATTCAAGAACTGGTTCTCATATAAAAAGTTTAATATTAATGAACAATATTTGTCACTTTCAATTTTAGATACTATAGAAATTTACAGGACAAGGCTAGTTTGCTGATCATATTGCATATTTGAAAGAAAAAATGAAAAGGCTGAATTCTAGAGCGTGACTTTAAATATATTTGTGATTAAAGTTAAATAACACAAAAATCAAAGCTTGTTTTCCCCAGCAGGACCTGAAATAATGTATTGAGTTGGTTGATCTTTTTTACACTATGAAAGAAAACAAACCAGTCATGATTTAATGGTATTTTAGAAAAAAGAAAATAATTCAATGACAAAAATCTGAGGTTGGTAATGAACACTTTCTACTATCAGAATTAATTACTAAATTAATCATATTATCTAAAAAGGCTGACAAATTCTAACTAGTATAAAGAAGATACTAAATATCATTAATGAATATATAACCATTGTGCATACAAATAATCTCTGGTTTTATACCCACTAAACTTCAGAATTCTGTAAACTGTGAGGCATTCAATATGTTTAACATGGCAGGATATTAATTACACATCTCATTATTTTATTTTGTTCAGTCCTTTCCCCATTAAACATGCAAACACTGTCATAACCATCTTTGGCTTCACTTCTACCAGGTCGTCCGGTAGGGCATATATCCGGGCACCAATCTTTCGAGCAACCGAAATGGCATATCTTGAAAAGACAAGAAAGACATCTCATTTCTGGTCCTTATTGTCTACTGCAATTCCACTGAATATATTTTAAGTAAGTAATGAAATATGTTGGTAAATAAAAATAATTTTCTGGAAGTCTCTGGATCACAAACTCTATTACAACAATTTCCCCCACACTCTGTTACAATAATATCAGTTTTATGAATAAAGTCTGTTTTTCTACTAGAATGCCCCAAAATTCAAAGGATACCTTATTTGCAAATAGACCATCAGCACTTACTTAGCATTATTCAGCTTGTCTTCATCGGACAGGTTTTCTCTCTTGACCATTTCTTTGCGAATTGCATTTGGTGCGATGGCATCTATTAAATCTAATACAGGTAAACTCGTGCTAATAGATTTATCCTAAAAAACAAGCAGTGAAGATTCATAAATTTATTACTACTAACCTCTTTAACCATCAGAAATGCCTCTTTTGACTACATAAATGAAGGCATTTACACACTTCTCTTAATCTAACTTTACATCTCTAGCCAACCCCCCAGTATACATCATTTTAGCAGATCATTCCAAAATCTCCCTTTGGTAGCACATTAATACCATAGTCTTTTATGCTAATTATAATGCCACTACCTGTACTAGGAAGTACTATTAGGGAGCTTTATAAAGCACTAGCTAAAATTATTATGTAGCATATGAACAATGTCTCAATAGGCCAGCTGATATTATATAATAACTGTTCATGTTTAGATGCCACTTCAAGGTTTACAGAAGGCTTTCCTCACAACAACTGGGAAGTGTAGGGAGTTCAAGTATTAATATGCCCACTTTACAGATAAGGAAACTAAAAGTCAGAGAGGAGTCCCTAGCCCAGGGTCCCACAGCTAAGTATCAAACCAAGACTCTGAATTCTGGCCTCAAGGCTGATGTTCTTTCCATTAGAGTATGCTGTGCAATGCATAGATTATAATCCTGATAGGGGCATCAAACTGTCTGAAACTCCAGAAGGTTCTATAAATCAATGCATTTCATCCTTCAGATTGTTGATTCCTAAGTCTATGCTTAACGTTTCTCTGGGAAAGATAAAACATAAGATCAGCCAAACAAGGGAGATGAAGGATGGACTACAGGCAGAAGCCAAATACGTGTCAGTCAGTCAACAAACACTTATTAAGCACCTACTATGTGCCGGCTACCATAGGAAGCCCTGGGGATACAAACAAAGGTATTCTCTATCTGGGGTGCAGAGGAGAGGGAGATAATATGCAAACAGCTATGTAAAAACAGGATATCTACAGGGTAAATTAGAGATGATCTCAGAGAAAAGGCACTAAGATTAGGGAGGCCAGGAAAAGGTTTTTGTAAGGGGTGGGATTTTAGGTGAGACTTGAAGTTAGGCAGCAAAGATGTGGAAGGAGAGCATTCCAGGCATGGAAGGCAGCCTGTAAAAATTCCTAGAGTTGGGAGATGGCATGCAGGGTGTGAGGAATAGTAAGGAGGCCAAGTGTCCAGAATCCATGGTGGTGAGTAAGGTGAAGGAGGTTGGAAAGGAAGGAAGGGACCACGTTGTAAAGTGCTTTGAAAGCTAAACAGAATTTTAGGTTGGATCATGGAGGCAGTAGAGAGCTACTGGAGTTGATTGAATGGGGGGTGGATTTGACATGGTAACACTTGCGCTTTAGGAACATCAACTTGATATTTGAAGGGAGGAGGATGGAGCAGAGTGAGGAGAGACTTAAGACAGAGACCAGTAGGTTACTGCAGTAGTCCAGGCAAGAAGTGTTAAGAACTTGCAGCGGGGTGGTGGCTGCTTCAGAGGGGCATGTATAGGAGGTGTTATGGAGGTAGAAATGACAGGGCTTGGAAACTGATGGGAAAAAGATGGAAGAGTTGAGGACGACAGGCTGCAAGCCTGGGTGACGGGGAGGAGGATGGTACCTGCACTAGTAATAGGGAAGTTAGGGAAAGGGAGATTTGGGGGTTGAAGGATAATGAGCTCAGTTTTGAACATGTTGAGTTGAGGATGTCTATCAGCCATCCAGTTTGAGATGTCTGAATATCAGCTGGCTATATGAAACTAGAGGTCAGGGAGAAGTTACAGCTAGACAGAGAGATCTGAGAGTCATCTGCATAGAAATGCTAGTTGAATCCATGGGAACTAATTAGGTTATCAAGTGAAATTATATAGAGGGAGAACAGGACCCAGGAAAGAGCCTTGGGGCACCTCCGTGGTTATTAGGTGTGATCTGGATGAAGATCCTACAAAGGAGGAGACTGAGAGGTGGTCAGACAGGTAGGAGAGAGAAGAGAGAAGAGAGCAGTGTCACAAAACCTAGAGAAAACAAGTGGCAAGGAGAAGGCACTAATCAACAGCATCAAATGCTGCCGAAAGGTCGAGAGAGATGAGAATTGTGAAAACGCCATTCGATTTGAGCAGGAAGAGATCACTGGCAACTTTGGAGAGAACAGTTTCAGTTGAATAAGGGTAGAAGTCAGACTGCAGGGAGTTAAGGAAGAGAGTGGGAGGAAAGGAAGTGGAAGCATCAATTACAGACAGCTTGCTTAAGGAGTTGAGCTACAAAAGGAAGAAGAAATAGAGGGAAACAGTGAGCAGGGACAGATGAATCAAGTGAAGGCTTTTTGAGGGTGGAGGAGATTTGGGTGTGTTTGTGGGCAGTAGATAAGGAGAGAGTAAAGATTAGAGAAAAATGGGGATGAAAGAGGGGATAATTTCCTTAGAAAACCTGCTAGAGATGTACCCCAAACCAAGTAGTTCAGCACCAGGCAATTAGGAGGAAAGGTAAAATTGCAGTCACAAAAACAGGGACCTGGGGGTTGAGGGTACATGCAAGGTACTAAAGTGAAAGGAGATGACTCCTAAGGTGTCAGAGAGAAGTGGCATATGGAGGCACCCAAGTAAGTGACTAGGTTCAGAAACAGATGGAACACTGTTTTTGCCACGTTCAAGGAACTAGTGGTCTAGTGCCTCTTTTCTCATGTGCACTGACCCTGTCACCACCTGGTTTCTAAAGGAACATAGGACAACTATTCCACATTCTCCATTCCAGGCCTGCTTCTTTCTTTGTGTCACTTTGTCTTGGAATTCCCCTCATCCCCTTGGCTTTAATTCTGAGCTTTATGCACGTAGCTTCTAAATCTAAATCTCCAGTCCTAATCTCTCTCTAGGTAGGCAGTCCTGTGTTTCCAGTGGCCTTCCAGACATTTCATCAAGATACCCCAATATCACCTCCAATGCGATGAGCTTAAAACTGACCGTAGTACTTTCCCTTCAAGCTAGCTTTACCTCCTGACGTTCCTATTAGAAGCAGGATATCAAATATGATGGTATCATCAATAAGTCTTCCATGCTAGAAACCCTGAGGCAAAGAATCATATTTTCCTTTTATACATATGACAGACATCTTACAGCCTTTAAAAATTCTTGTTACTGCTTTCTCGCCAATATGGCAAGAGGTCTCCAATGGAGTATGCCAAGGATCTGTACTTGGCCCTCTGCTGTACAACATTTTTATCAATGACTTGGATAAAGGCATCAATGGTATGAACATCATATTTGAAGAGGACACAAGGCTGGAGAGATGGCCAACAGAGCAGATGACAGAGTCAGAATCTTAAATCCAGGACCCAGGCTAGAGCACTGTGCTAAATCTAATAAAATAAATTCAATAGAGATAAATAAAAAGCCTTATGCTTAGGTAGAAAATGATCAACTTCAAAGGTCAAGGAAGCATGGTTACAGACAACAGTCTGAAAAAAAAATCTGGGGTTTTAGTGTACTGGAAGCTCAGTGAGTCAAGAGTGAATGTTGCAGCAGCATCTTGGGCTACTTTAAGAAAGGCATCGCTTTCAGGAATAAGGAGGTAATAATCCCACTGTTTTCTGCACTCATCAGACCCCACCTAGAGTATTGTGTTCACTTCTGAGCACCGAAGTTTAAGTGGCATATTTGACTAGCTGAAGTATAACCAGCATGACCTTCAGTTCATCTCATAAGAGGACTGGCTAAAGGCACTGGAGATGTTTAGACTACAGAACAGAAAACTTGCAGAAGAAGGGGGAGGGGATCATGAAAGCTGTTTTCAAGTATTTGCAGGGCTGTCAAGTGATTATGTTAGGCCCCAGAGGGCTAAGCCAAGAGCAGTGGGTAGAAGTTTCAAGGAGGCCACTTTAGGCTTGAAAAATTTAACAATTAGAGCCCTCTCCAAGTGGTATGGGCTGCCTCAAGAGGTGGTTCTGCCTCCTTGGATGACCACTTGTTGGGTATATCAGAGTGGGGATTCCTTTCATGTATGGCTTAGACTAGATGGTACCTAGGGTCTCTTCCAACCATTTGCCCAAAGCTCCCCAGTGACTACAGGATAAAATCCAAATTCCTTAGTCTGGCATTCAAGACCATCTGTCATGAATTAACCAGTTCAGCCAAGCTATTCTATTCAGTGTCCCCCAAAGAAAACTGGGCAGAATCCACAATTCTGCAATCATTGTTCCCACAACCTTGGAATGCTATGCATCTCTCATCTTTTCTACCTGCCAAAATCATGCCCAACCAACCTTCAAAGACAAGCTTAGATCTTACCTCTTCCTTTCTGACCACCCTAACTGGAAGAGATCTCTTGATCCTCTGAACTCCTAAAATCATGTGTGACTCATACAATTGATTTTTTACTTACCTTTTACAGACCAGTTCTGTCAAATTTACCTTTTCACGTGTCTATATCTTTTCTCTACCACTGAACTATAAGAAGCTGGAGAACAAGGGCCATGTCTTATATTTCTTTGTACCCCCTCATTCCGGGTTTAGAGAAAAGGGACTTCCACATAGTAGGCACTCCATAAATATTTACTGACATCAGGCCATTTCATTACTTCCTGTTTTTGTATCTGAAGTAATTATGTAAATCTAGCTATGCTATGATGCTGGGTGACCTCAGGCAAGTTACTAACTTCTATATGGCTTCAGTTTCTTCACATTAAAAAAAAAAGGTCAGAAAAGGTAATCTCAGGCATCTTCCTGCACTAAAATTTTATGATGTGTATTCATGTCTTTACAACTTTTAATGTCCTGAATTCATTATTACTTTTCAAAGATGAGGGCAATAAAAAAAAAGTTAGATACTCGGGGAAATCTAGGGGGTTTTGTTTACTTCTTTTTGCAAATTATTTCCCCCCCCTTATAACAACCCAGTCCCTGGCTCATTGTTCTGCTTCTGACCATCATATTTTTTAACCTTCCCTTGCCCAGACCAGAGAAGAGTGGGTTTCAGAAGATCCCTTCTCCTTTTCCCAACCTCTATATTTGAATTACTTTCGCTTCTGATGCCCTGATTTTAAGAAATAGCAAATCTTCCTCCCCCTCCTCTCTCCCTTAAAGTACTTTTTTTATTATGATGTTTTCCCCCAAAATACAATTTGACTGAAGGTTTTCCATATATTATAATGACAAACACAATGAAGATGAAATAACAAAGTAGGGTAGATGACTCACTGTATGTGTGCAAGCAAACATGCTTAGGTTTCTGACTTGAGCATGCATGCAAAAACAACAAAAAACTGGAAATGCACTAAAATTAGTGAGGATGTATATGAATGTATATATACAGTGTGAATGCTTTATGATTCACTGATTAAAAGTGAATATAAGTGAATGCTAAGGGCCATTATAAATTAGATGACAAGATTTTTTTCCTGCCCGTTTTCTCAATCCCACTTGTATCTGGCTGGTTCTGTTATGCCTTGGAACTGATGTCAGTATAGTTCTATAACTGCTGTCAGGGAGCACAAAGCATTATATGTCCTACATAGCAATAATTATTATTTTTTTATTTTCTGTTTTATTTCTTAAAGGACAAAGTTATGTTTGGCTTTTTACTTGTTTTCCTTTCTCATAAAATAGACTTGCCTATTCTGACACCCTTCAGCTGTCAATATAGATGCTGAGATAACCAGCAAAAAAGTTAAAAATTGAAATATTTGGATTTTTTTCTCTACACAACACCAAATAATAGCTTTGTTATTATCATTTTTGTTGTTGTTTCTGTTATTGTAACTAAACTTGTTTTGGTGCTGCCAATATACAGCCCTACACTAAATCTATAAGCTATATGACATATTGTCCATACTTCTCATTTGATGTTAAATTTAATTTCTTTGAAATGTTCTTATATTAGTCTTTTATTTACCTTGAAGCTGGAAATTGAAGTTTTTTTATTTGCCTCTTTAAGAGTTTGATTCACCCATTTAATAATAATTTCATCAGTTACTTTTTCACCTTCTCCAAGATCTGATAATACATTCAGTGTGTACCTGCAATGGAAAAAATGCTGAAATATAATATACACCTTCAGACCACTGATATAAACATTTAAGTGCATGTTATAGAATAATCCAGTTCTAAAGAAATCTATACCTATTCATCATCACTTTGCTAATTACATTTAATAAAGTTCACTAACAAGAATCCAGAGACTTGTGTATTTTTTTTCAAAAGGTTAACAATTTGCATTGTGAAATGTTTTGTAAAATTAATCATTGAATTTTGTTTCTATTTCATAAATAGAACAAGTCTATTTTTCAGATACATTGTGGTTTACCTTAAATGGTGCTTATCAAGAATAAATCAAATTTTAGAATGAACATTTTCTGTTTTGAATTTCCTTTATTCTCTATACAATATGAAAACAACTATAAAATTTAGTTTAAGTGACTGGATGAAAGAACAATTTGTGGTTATTATATTTAGCTCTTACTTATCCTTACCTTCTCATCAGCTGCCATAGCAATGCCAGGGTAAGAGTAGGATTTCCTTCATGTAAGTCCTGCCCACCAATCCCAACCAAGGAGAATTTGGCCTTATTCTTTCCAAGTTCCACTGCATAGTTACAATTTTCAAGCTACAAATATAAGTATAAGCCTTACCATAAAGATAAAAGACAAGTATCCATCAAAATTCTGCTAGACTAATATGGTTAATGATCTAAGCATCTTTTAGAATCTTATGTAATTAGTACTAGTTCTGCTTATACCCCAAATTGAGAACTTGAAAGCATCTGTGCTTTTAAGAATTAAACATCATTCTTATGAAAAAATGCTATAAATCACTACTGATCAGAGAAATGCAAATTAAAACAACTCTAAGGTACCATCTCACCCCTACCAGATGGACTATTGTGACAGAAAAGGAAAACAATGAATCTTGGAGGGGGTATGGAAAAATTGGGATGCTAATGCACTATTAGTGGAGTCATGAACTGATCCAACCATTCTGTAGGGCTATCAAACTGTACATACCCTTTGACCCTGCAATACCACTACTAGGTCTGTATCCCAAAGGGATCAAAATAAAAGGGAAAGAATCCATTTGCACAAAAATATTTATAGCAGCTCTTGTAGTGGTGGCAAAGAATTGGAAACTGAAGGGATGTCCATCAATTGGGGAATGGCTGAATGAGTTATGGTATACGATTGTGATGTAATACTATTGTGCTACAAGAAATCATGATGAGCAAGATGATTTCAGAAAAACCTGGAAAGACTACATGAACTGATGAAAAGTGAAGTGAGCGGAACCAGGAGAATAGTGTACACAGTAACAGCAATATTGTATGATGATCAGCTGTTAATGATTCTTAGCAATATAATGATCCAAGATAGTTCCAAAGGACTTATGATGAAAAATGCTATCCACCTCCAGAGAAAACTGATGGAGTTGAATGCAGATGAAGCAGACTCTTTTTCATTTGTGCGTGTGTGTGTGTGTGTGTAGTTTTTTTAGTTGTTGTTCTGTTTTCTTTCACAGCATGACTAATATGGAAATATATTGTGCATGACTACACATGTATAACCTATATCAAATTGGTTAGGGAGGAGGCAGGGGAGGCAGAGAATTTAGAACTCAATTTTTTTAAATGAATGTTAAAAATTATTTTTACATGCATTTGGGAAAAATAAAATATTTTTAAAAATTAAAAATCATTAAGTGATTGAAATTCTATAAATACAAGGCTATAATATTATTAATTCTCTCTTATTTCCAGTAGTCTTTATAGATAAATATACTCTGTTTAAAAGACATTTATACTCCAAATGTACAGAATTTTAAAAGTAAGGGAACAGATGCCCAATGTTTAGAGCTTCATAGTGTGCTGGCTGTAGTACTTCCTCTTTAGTGGGAGGATAGGCACTGGATACAGTTTAATTTTACAATTTAAAATGGGAGATGCTTTCGGAAAGCCTACAGAAATCTACTAATTTAAAATGGAAATTAATACATGGGAATATGCTACATAGCCAAATTAGCTGCAACATGTGTGGGGAGTAAAACAGAAGAGTTTGAGGGGGGGACCTACTGCAAGGTTGCAAGCTTGGGGCTTAGGAAGATGGTGGTATCACTGACAATTACAGCCAAATTGGGAAAGAATGTTAGTTTGAAGAAAAAGGTTAATTCCTTTTTTGAAATGTTTGGTTTTAATAAAAATAGCCAACTAAACACATCCTAAAGGTACCTAGAAATACCAACCAGAAAATGGATTAAGTTTGGAATTGTGCCATGTTTATAAGTAGTAACCAAGGTCAGGAAAGTGGATGAATTCCCTTCTAATACTGTTCCCTGCTGTCCTTAGAGAACAGCCACACTTACTGGACATAAATAAGAAAAACCTTCAGAGGACAAATAAAACAAGCAGTTAAAAAGGTAGCATAGCATCCTGGAATTAGGGAGGGAACAATAGCCAAGAGTTTCGAGAAAACCACTATCTCCAATGGTTTGAATAGAAGTAAAAATTATTATCTTTTGGAAGAGTGGGAAAAGTGACAGATTTTCAAAATCAGCAAATTTAAAAGTGGTGAAGAATGAATGGATAAGCATGTTAAAGTTTATAAAGTCTATAATTTTCACTTTCCTAATTTTCAATTTCCTTTTAATCCTCTTCCAATAGGAATAAAGTATCGTTGCAAATACAGCAGTTCTTTGTTTACAAGTTCCAGGAAAAAATTCCCGTAGTACCCATATATGCATAATACCATTTATTTTTATTGTTGCCCCATGAGTTGCCACTGTTGTTTTATATTTTATAACTTTTCATCTGTTTATTTATTTGTTAGTTTCATCTTCTTGTTCTATTCAAAGGGGTTTTCCTACCATTCCTCAAATTTGCCTTTGACTTTCCTTTTGCTCATACAATTCTCTCTGCCTACAATATCCTCCTCGTTGCCCTGTCATTCCTAGCTAATGGAAACACATATATTCTTCAAGGCCTAGCTCAAATCCCACTTCTTCCCATGACTATCTATGCTAGAAATTATCTTTTCTTCTTCTGATATCTTTTAGCCCATTATTCATAAGACATAGGATATACTGCTTTATATTATAGTTATTTGAGTGCCTGTCTTATTTTCACAAATAAATTATAAACTCCTTAAAGGCAAGGACTATAACTTAATATTATTTGGATTACCCATAACATCTGTCACAGTGTTTCACATATTGTACAAGCACTCAAAAATACTTATTGAATGAATGAACATCACCTAAAAAGGCTAGGTGAGTAGATACAGAATTTGAGGGACGGATTAGTAAGGGAAGAAATATATTAAAGTTTTAGATTTATGTGTTATAAAGTACCACAGGTTGGAGACAGCATAAAGTGGCTACTTTATTATGCTTGCTTCGAGATACTAATCCCAAACTACTAAAAACATATACGGAACAAAGCCAATCAATCACCTCAAGAAACGTTTGTTTGAATCAGACCCCCTTGTGAATCCCTGAATTCTTTGGGAGAGATCAGTACAGTAACAACTAGTCTATGGAATGACAGACACAAAAGTACTTCATTTACCTTTTTCATGTTACCCCCAAGTGCAGGATAAGGAGGTTTGTTGACACGGCCCCATTCTACTGGGACTCGGGTCATTTCATACAGCTGAAAGATCACTAAACCATCAGCAAGGTCACTAGGAACAATATGAATAAACAGGAAATGTTCATATTCAAGGTTAAAATTCATTCCAAGTAAGCTTCACCTATAACCAAAAATTACTATAACCCAGTTTCCTAATGCTCAGAATACTGTAGGAATATCACACTAACTCGACAGATGTTAGCTATTCACGATGAGTTATGAGGAGAACATGGAACACGTTTCACGAACCAAAAACTTTTAAGGTACAAATAGTACTTTAATGGTTCTGTGATCTTATTAGTATGAGTATGCCCTCCAAGGGTTCAGACGGTAATCCAGCCCCAACTCAAGCTGTACAATATTTTCTCATGTCCCCCATTAAATCCTCAAAGAAGACTGATTCAACGTCTTGGAGACCTCCTTCTTGTATTTAACATTTCATGGGTGATTTTAAAAGGACTTTACTGATGAGCTCAGAGAATGTTCTTCAATGTAGTCAATTCTCAATTTTCTATTCTAAGAGAATGAAGCAATAGCAATTGATCTAAAACAAATATTTGAGGATATATCATTTTCCCCAGTATTTACCTCTTTAATTATATTTGCTTAGACTAATATTAATTTAAAGGATATTAATATTAATTAAATAGTTAATTTAAGGGATTAATTTGTATCAACAAGAGGATGTTCTGGCATATTTGTGCATAGTCTCACATTCTGAATAGACCTCTCAGTGAATGCAGGTCTAAATTCCCTGCATGACATTACATGCACATGTCACAATAGTACATATATATCTATACAAGTAAATATGCATAAAAAGGAATTCAATAAATAACATCAATAAATTTACATAATAGCAGAACATCCATATATAGCAGCATATGTGCAGACAAACCAAAAAATTATGCATAGCTAACAGGCAAATATATTTGAGGCACATAAATAAGCAATAATCACCACATATATCAATGAACATAAGTAATCAGGCTGTGTCTGTAACCACTTCTGCAGTTTTTACTGTAATAACCTAAATAAGTCTGGTCACTGGCCAAATAAACCTATGTGTCTTGAGACCAGCTAACCCAGCTGTTCTATACCTAAGGTAGTTGACAGTATGGGCTGATCATAGGCCTTTTTAAAAACTGTAATCCTACCTCCTTAAGCCTGCATTTGTGGAGGGTCCAGGCTGGCTAGCAATGTTACAGTACTCTGTGGAGATTCTTGGTGCCCTAGGAGTTTCTACAGCTGAAGTTCTAGACAGGAAAAATATTGCCTCTGAGTTCAATCTCTACCTTCCCCCTCACTTAAACTGGCTGTCAGGTTTACAGTATACCAAATCTTCCCTTGAAATTTCTATTTCTGAACCATTGTCTGGTTCAGTCTCTAAAAAATTAGTAGATGGTCTCTGTTGCACTGAAGTAAATGCCCATGAATTTTTTTCCGTTTTATTATGGAGTCCAAGTAATTCTTTATTAGGCAATAAGTGGTAGTGATGAATTATTTTTAGAGAGGATCTGAGGCTATGTTATAAATGAAATAGTTTTCCAGTCTCTCTACAACTAGGTATGGAGTAGTTTTCTGCCAACTGATGTGTCACATGAAGCCCAAGATTTCTTAGTAAAACTGTCTCCTTGATTAAGGTCTTGACAATAAACTCAGGCATTACACCATGGATTGCTTCTGTCAGCACTCTTCTAAACTGAAGGTGCTAAGTGGTAAGCTCTTTTCACTTTTCCTCTAAGATTACATCTATAGTTTTTCCAGCTTGAGATGCTCCAAAACACAAGTCAATGTGTAGGCATGATTGTCACCCAAACCTTAGCAAGTATAGTATAAAATTGGCAGTATCATCCTGGTAGAATTGGCATTCCCGTACCAGAAAATGCCGGTGCTGTATGTTGTCTCTGCAGAGATTTCTGTTCTGATCTCGGTGTCCCCAACATGTTTAGGAATGTGCAATCATATCAGTTACACCATGGATCCCCTTGAGGGTGGAAAAGTATAGTTCTAGACTTTGATCTAGCCAAAGCTAGCATCTCTTTTGAGACAAAAGGCAAGAGGGGTACAGAAGCAGACAGTGTGGGAATGGGGGAGTATGATAGTGAAGGGAGATAGGCACCATGAGGAAGAGGATGGGGAAGATGAATCACTTACATATCCGTGGACTAGAGTTGTGAGCATTCGAGCAAGAGGAAACCTTAGGAATTGGAATAGTGTTGGTGGGGAGGGAAAGGGCAAGAGCTTGAAGATCTCTTTTTGATATGTCCCTTTTTGGAGGAACAGACCAACTCTTATCTGTGCCACCTTGGGATTAGTTCTCTAACATATCCAAATCAACTCAAAGTTATTGGTAAAACTTTAAAGTTAACATGTCCGTGTCATGTAAAAGTTATCAGCACCATTTTGATATTCTGCTGGTCTGGAACTATAGAGGTCTGGAATTTGTCTGGAATTTATGTATCATAGCACCAGAACCCTGACAGCAGTACCTACATGGCTTCTTCTGATTCAGCACATATTATTACCAGGATGTGAATTTTGGTTACTATATGATACAGTTTGTAAATTATTCTTCTTTGATCTTTGGGATGGTTTGTATGTCAGGTTCCCCTTTGTAATCTTATTTCCTGCTATTGCCCCTTTATACTGACTACTTATAAATTTACTTACTCTACTGACTAGCAAAGAGGGATGGAACAAGATACAATTTGAACACATGATGCATAGGGGCTGCTGTGCTGTGACAACACTGACCAGTAGGTATTTAAGATGATTTCTAAGATCAACCATCATAGATAAAGGTATCTTCCTAGATAACCCCTAGGTTGATTGGGAATTGGATTTTATCCTATGGGTTCATTCATGAGCACATCTCATTCATGTAGTGAGAACATACCTGTCCTTTGCCGAGATTTTTGACTCAATCCATTCTTCCAAGACTGGAGAATCAACAACTGCTTCAGGGGCTGCTTACAAGGTGCCTTCATGATGTTCATGGTTACCATTTGCCTCTAGTATCCTGTATTCCTCTGCACAGGTTGCATGGATAGTCAAAGTATGCAGTGATTGGGTTCAAGCTTGCTGTTTTCAGTACCTTGCTAGTATCTTGAACAGACTGGAATTGGTTCCAATCAGAGCTAACATACAGATGCTCTAAGGGTCCAGCCATGGTGTCTTCTTTCCCACTGACACCAATAACTTCATTAGCAAATTCCAATCTTACTCTGATTTAGCTCAGATATGGGTAGCATTTGTCACCCATTCCTCCAAGTTGTTCCAAAGCACGCAATGAAATTTGTGAAATACCTCTTATAAATGACTGAATAACAATGGCCACTTTTCCATGTTTGTCTACTTGCTATACAAGAGAACAGGGCTTTCTGCATCCTTAGTCTTCACTGTTCCAGCACATCCTCTACTTGCGTGGCTATCAAAATGGTCTTCCCAAAGAACATATCCCCCTCTCATTCAGTAAGCTCCACTAGTTCCCTATTGCTACCTCCAAGGTCAAATATAAAATCTGGTTTGGTTTTTAAAGCTTTTCATAACCTGACCCCTTCCTACTTTCCTAATACTCTTTCCTCCTCCCCATATATTCTACAATCCTGTGACTCATTACTGTTCCTCACACAAGACATTTCATCTCCTGACTTGGTTCATTTTTTATTGACTATGGAATGCTGTCCCTTCTCCCCTCTGTCTCTTGAATTCCCCAGCCTCCTTCAAATCTCACCTAAAATCCCATCTTATTCAGAACTCTTTCCCAATCTCCCTTAATGCCACTGCCTTCCCTCTGAGATGTCCTCCAATTTATCTTGTATATATCTTATTGGTACATAGTTGTTTGCAGGCTGTCTCCCCCACTGGAATGTGAGCTCCTTGAGGGCAGGGATAATTTTTGCCTTTCTTTGAATCCCCAGTACTTAGCATAGTGTCTGGCATGTAGCAAGTGCTTAATAATGCTTGTTGACATCACCATCACTGCTTTTGGAATCTTGTGAATCCAGGTGGAATAGACCCATGTGCAATTAATGAAGAAGTCAAATACACTTTTAGGGGGACCAGGGTGTGTTCTTTTCCTGGCACTGTCTTCCTTCCCCAGTGGTGGTCATATTGTACCAAAGCTGCATTCTCTTCCCATGTGGATCCAACTTGCATGTGTCCATCTTCTCAGCAGTTTATCTGCCTTGCCCATCCTTCTTTTGTGATTAGGTTCTGGGCTTTCAAGAACCACTCTCTTACAACTACTTCAATAACCCTAGATAATTTAGTGTAGCTAATCCTTTCAGGAAGCAATAATTGTGTCTGAGAATTAAGATTTCCATTAATACTTACAAAAGGTTTTGAACCAATTAGTTATTGATGAATTCAGGTAATTAAGTCCTGATTGTTTCAAAGATAATAGCTGACAAAGTTCAAATGAAATAGCTGTATTTTTAAAAAGACAAGTTGGTAGAATCTATAATAAAAGAAAGTAGAGGATTTTTTTTATCCACCCACCTCTGGGAGGAGATATTGGAGAAAGTCTTTTACAGACACAAGGGGAAGAATTTAGAACAATGTTTTTGAGTTCTGTCAATATTAATGCATCATTATAATTTTCAATACAAATTATAAAATAAATCACTCAAGTTATTTGGGGAAAAAACTGAAATCATGCCCAGAAGCATTATGAGTTGGCATTTCAGAAGATCCCCGATTTCACTGGTATGCTCTGTCCCTTCACTGGTGAAGATCATGACATAGTTAGCAATTTCATGATTTGTCATGTCCAAAATCTTCACCACCAGGCAGTCACTCTTGGCAATAAGCCTCTCTGAACCTTACCAGGTTGACCCTCAGATGAGAGACACAGAGCCTGTCTTTAGGCATGATATAAATATATATATTAATATATGTATGTACGAGTGTATATATTCTTGACTCTCCAAAGACCCAAGGGAGAAGTTACATGTTAGAAAAAAGTCAACAGGGATTACAGTATAAATACACTATACATAGAAGTGCAGGAATGATTTTGGGGGGAAATATCTCTTCTCCCCCTCCCAAAAAAACCCTTTTATAACACTATAACTTGGCAGATTTTGGAATATTGATAAGCATTTGTAAAATATAACTACATTCTTTTAATCAGTACAATTGAAAGTCAAAATCAATTGCTTATTTCTTGGTGAGCAATTCAAATAAGGCAGAAAGATTACTTTTACTAAAATGCTTGTTTATGTGAGCATTTGAAATCAAATTTTAACTAGCTAATTCTACAATTTCATTTTAATTTCCCTCTTAAATCTGTTGCATTGCTGGGCATCATTCATTCCTTAATTCCATGTGCTGGCAAAATTCCTGATTTTAAAAAAATATTTATTTAAAAATTCAGGATTAGTCTTTAAAGTGTTTATCCTTAACAATAAAGATGGAAAGCAATCAAATATTTACCTGTACAAGTGATTAATATATGGAGTGACACCCAAAGAATTCATCCAGTTCCGGAATGTTCTCTCTTCTTTGCTTTCTCCTATAGTAGACATGAGTTTGTATTAATGATTTGGGGGTTGGGGGAGAGGCAAGAAAGACATACTATTCTTACACTTAAGCCAACTATATGTGATTAGTTGTGGTTCCTGTGCTGTATTTCCTTTAGAAAACAATTCCCATTTTGCAAATGGCAATCATTGCTGCGGAAGTCTTTATTTGCTTTCAGCACTGCTGAGCAGAAAGTGGGGCTCCTTTGAGGCTACACTATGGGTGACAGTTGATATTTTTAGACCTGTAGTTGGAATTCAGTTTGAGGGAGGGATTCTAAATATTAATAAGAATTTTTTCCATATTAAGTAGAAATAGAAAAGCTGTCATTTGCCCCCAAAAAATCAGTTTTTCAAAAGTGGCTTCTAAATGTATGTTCTTTAGTTTTGCACAGAGAAACTACTGTAGTATGTAAACTTATACCTTGTCTATGGCAAAAGAGGGAAGGGGAAGGAGAGTGAGAGCTAAGAGAAAATGCAAAATACAGTAAAAATGCACTGTTAAGCCAGGTGTTAAGAGACATAGCTGACATTTTGATACTTAGAGGCCACCTGTGTTCTGCCGGTAGTTCCTACTATAAATGTATCAGAGCTACAGCCTTCTCAAATGCTGCTTAATCATCTCCTGTAGCTAAGATTTACTTTCTACCACATTAAGCCTACAGCGTTGGAAATCACTTTAGATAAACACCCCTAAGTACCACTATCTGGCCTGTGGCTACCATGGCCTCCTTCAGGATTCCCACCATGGCAGTATTTATATCAGTCTAAGGAAGGTAACTCATAAGATCATATAAGTATGAAGGAATAATTAAATCTCTTAAGAAATGTAGTGGGATGCATCATGGGATTTCACTGTAGTGTTCTTTCTTTCTGTGCTTTCTAGATTATAACTAGACCTATGTACTTTAATTTAACTCACAATTGACTCTCTAGATTTATTTCTTGGTGACAGTATTCTATCATCCTAGTTTGAGTCAGTGAGTACTGGAATATCCTCGAATATCATTAATCACTTGAGTCAAATTGGCAATTGACAAGGAGGGAATTTGTATCATTCAGTACTCATAACCCACAGGCTAGCCCAGCTACACACTCTGTAAGGCCTCAGACAATCATGATTCTTTCAAGACTCTCAGGGGAACAAGTCCATAATAACAGGGCCAGTTTTTCCATTCCTTTTCATCACATAACCCCAGGGTACTTTCAGACCAAGTTCCCTCATCTCAGAATCAAAAGGGCCAATCAATCTAACTCACACATGACTGAACACTTCCTCAATTATATCCCCACTCAGTGGTTGTCCTTAGTTTGAAGACCTTGATTAAAGGTGAGTATTCTACCAAACAAGGCAACCTATGCTATTTTCAAATAGATCTAATTATTAGGAAATTTCTTCTTGCATTAAGCCTAAATCTATCTCTTTTCAATTTCTAGCCATTGTTTCTTGTTCTGTCCTCTGAGGCCAACAGGGCAAATCTAATCTCTCTTCCACATGACAGCCCTTGAAATATTTGATGACAGCTAATATATGTCCTCTGAGTCTTCTTTTCTCCAGGCCAAGCATGACTAGCTCTTTCAACCAATCCTTACTGACATGTTTTCAAGGATCTAACCCTTTACCATACTGGTAACCCTCCTTTGGATGCTTTTGGATGTCCTTCCTAAAATGTGGTACCCAAACTGAACATAATACTCCACATTTTGGCTCTCCAAAGTAGAGTACAGTGGGATCATAACTTCCGTTATCCTTGACACTCTGCTTCTCTTAATGTAACCTAAAATAAAATTAGGGTTTTTGGTTGCTATATCACATTGTTGATGTATATTGAACTTGTTTTCTACTAAAATCCATAGATTTCCTCAAATGAACTGCTATCTAGTCATCTCTACTCTTTTGTGAAATTGATATGTTGAAGCTAAATTTAAACTTCACTTTAATCCCTATTAAATCATATTCAGCTCAAAGTTCTTGCCTAGTTTGGATTCTGACTGTATCACCCAATGTGCTAATTATCCTTTCCAGTTTTGTGTCATCTGCAAATCCTAACTGACTTTATTCAAATTTTTGATAAAAATACTAAATGGTACCTGGTTAAGTACTAATCCCTGTGACACTCCACTAAGGACCTTTCTCCAAATTGACATTGAGTCATTACTTGAGTATTCTGAATATAGGATGCTCTCTAGGCAGCTCTAAAATGAAATACCAAGAGTAATCTCTAGAGCCATGTTGGTTCTGAGAGTCAGGGTAGGAATGAGAAAGAGGAAGGGAGGATTTGGAGACTAGCAGGCTCGATGGCTATTTCTGCTAATGAGAGGGAAAAGGCAAATAATACAGTGGGTTTTCAATGTTTTCAACATTAATTATATCCTTTCTTAGATTATTTTGCTTTTATTTCTACTACACTACACATGGCATCTATTAGGAAGATTATTCTTTTTTTTAAATTACTTCTCTGCTTCTCAATAGACATTTATAAAACATCAATTTTTTAAAAACTGAAATGCCTAAAATCCATACTTTCCTTTTTCCTAGCAACCATTTAACAATTCTAATTATAGATATGAAATGTTTTCAAAATAATAGTCATCAACAAATATAAATACCGAAATTAAAGCTCAGTGTGTGTGACTTGGACTTGCCTTTTTTCCCCAAAAAAATAACAGAATTAGAATCAGCAAATATAGCTGGAAGGGGCCTTAGAGATCATCTAATCTAATGCCCTCATTTTATCAATGAGGAAACTGAGACATAGTGAGCCCAAGGTCACATTTATATTAAAGTTTGGAGCCAAGATTCAAACCCAGGTCTCAATTCCAAGTTCTGATCCAATCTCTTGGACTTAAAAACTATTTAGGGAATAACTCTGAAGGTCAAAATATGAATTACACATTTTCATAATGTCATGGTTCCATTTTGATTTAAAATAATAATTACCAATAAACACCAAGCAGTCATGATGTCATAAACAATGGAAAATGTCCTCAGGTTGCTCTGACACTTTTATCAGCTTCAGATTTATCAGCTTCAGATTTCTTACTGATTTTTAAATCTGAGTGTTAGCAAGAACAGCATCAATTTAAAAATAAGTGATAGCTAGAAAGTAGATAAGTTCCATAATGGAGCATTTATTTATCAAACTCTTAGTTTTACCTGTAAATAAATGCTCAAAACTTGAGACATCATACAACGTATAAGAGTGACTGGTAAGCAAAATAAAAACATGTATTCTAGACTGGGAAGAATTTTCTAGATTGGAAGTAGAAATAAAGGACACTGTAGAAACTTTAGTGGTAGAAGGCAAAATATTCTTTTAATTTATTGTCCATCCCCTTTGATAGAACTCCTAGAATGCTAAATAGGCTTGTTACATTCTTATAGAGCCACAAAATAATGCAATATTATGGACATCTATCCAGAGATAATGAATGATGTAACTCATGTGAAGAGTAGCAATTCTTCAATAATTTTGTTATTCCCAACAAAGTTTCTCTCTGAACTTGGCCAATAAACAATTTTGCTTTGTTTAATAAGAAGGATCTAGGGCTTAATTGTACTTTGAAAGATTTCTTTGGGTTTTATTAAGATACTTTCCACTAAGATTATTAGGTGGTGATTATGTCTGAATTTGTGGGGAAAATACTGTTACCTGAACTCTACTTATTATATGGCAATGATAATATGGCAAAATTTTCATTTTAATAAATAGTACATAAAAACATAAATATCCAGAAAAAAGTCATCTAAGGTTCCTCTCTGTTCTAGATTCATGGTCCTAAATATAATGATTATAGAGTCAAATGATTATTTTTAAAGGAGTATATCAGGAGATATGTTCTAAGGCAACTGATAAATACTTCCAGCAGTATCATCTTACAATTGTACATGGCAAATACTAAAGGAAATATTCAGCAATACCATTCACACTGAAAAAAATCTACCAAATGCATGCTGAATACTATAGCAAAGGAATCCAAACAAGACAAAAGGAGATAAGAGCCAGCAAGTTCAAGAATGCACCTCTAACTAGCAAGAATTCAGGGGCTAAAAATAGCAGACCATTTTTAATATGCCATTCTAAACAAATGTCTTTTATTGTAAAACACAGGAATTGTGAAATTTGCCAGAGTTGTGAAAACCTAGCCTTCCTTAAAATTTTTTTCCCAATACTTCAGTTTAAATTTCCATTTTTTATGGAAACATCTTATGGAAATATGACATTGCTGCCATTTACATATGTATAATAAGGAAACATATTCTTTAACTTTGAAGCTATTTAAATATAAAAGAAATTACTGTGGTTGTCAATTGGCACAGCAGGTATAGTGGTAGAAATGAAAATTATTTATGGTAGTGATGGAGTGATGGAGGTTATAAAAGATAATAGAAGAGGGTGTATATTCTTGACTCTTGTCCTCATTACCAAAGTCAAGGGAGGAGTATATGTGAAAGGGAGAAGTCTGGGAACTTCAGTTTTCACTTTTCAGGAATGGAAGAGGCTGCCATTCTCTGACATAAACAAAAAGAAGGGTCATCATTAACAATGGTGACTTTTTCCAGAAACCCCATTGTAGCTGTCATATTTTTTTCTTTTAGATTCTTAAACTAATATGAATAGATCTATAAAGCATGAGAAAATAGGAGGGTAGACAGGACAGGAAAAATAGAGAGAGAATTTTTGTCTTTGTTGATTTTTATATTGCATGTTGCAAAATAGGGTACTGGCCTTTTCCTATATTGTATACAGTAAGATCCTTCAATAAGTAAGGGATAATTATATATTAAAAAATACAGTTTTGTAGAAGGATCAAAGTCAACTCTTCCAAAAAATAAGAAGCAGGAGAGGTTTGTGGATCTGTAGCACAAGTAAGTCAAAAAAGACTTAAAAACAAACTGTGAGGTCAAATTGTCAAAATAAGTATGTTTTAAATTGTAATATCCTACTACCCTAAAAAGAAAATCAGATGGTTAGTTTATATTATCAAAGATTAGCTTCAGGGACATAATTTAAACTACACTTTTGCTTCTCCATCATAAGTCATTCTTTCGGCATATTAAGACAAGGATAACACAGCATAAACAATGCAAAGAAGAAACACCAACCCAGAAGAAAAGAATAAATGGTAATAATAGAAAAAATTCAGAATAAATAAGTTTATGGATAGAAAAGTACTAAATACAGTACCTACATTAGGAGGGGTCAAATCTGCATTTCATGAAGCAAAACAGGAAAGTTATAAATTATGAGATAGATAATGACAGCTTATATATGATAAGACAATAAAGTAATGTGTTTCATTCCCTCCCACACACACCTAATTAAGACCACTGTAAAGAGAACTAATCTGGAGAAAAATGAAATTGCTCCTTAGTTTTAAAATTAAAAAAAAAATTCCATTCATGTCTTCTAATTGAAAACATATTACCCATATTAGCATGATTATATGTTATTATTTAATGGATTTTTTTTTTAGCATATAGGGGTTTTCACCAAGCTAATAACAGCTGGGGAAATTCTAGGGTTTGGTTTTGTTTTTTTTTTTACCCCAGTGTTTTCCTTTATCCAACACTCGCTGAATTCTAATCCATTAACATATACATATGCATAAACACATGTGTACACATACACAAATACACACATACACAAAATGATTTCTTGGATTATCCTCTCACTCTTGCTATCCTTGATTGTTGCAGTGAGCCAGCACAGTGTTCTGAACAGAGCACGACAATTTAAGATTGAAAGAACTCACCTTCTAACAAATTTATATCAATGTCGTTATTCTCAGGCTTGTGCAGACATGGGTACGTATTAAACAGATTTGCTACGAAAGCTAAATTAAGTTTAGGATTTCCAGAAACCACATCTGCAGGAGAAACAAATTGCCTACAGCCCAGTTTGTCAGCTTCTTGAAGCATCAGGTCAGCTCTCTTCAGATCATTTTTCTCCTGTGAAGGAATGAATGAATGAATGTGAAAAAAAAACATTTATTGAGCATTTTCTATATACTTGTGAATGATGCTGAGTGTCAGCAACAACAGCATGATTTTTTTAAAAAATAATATCTGGGAAGTAAAACAGGTTTATCTAATAGTATTCTCTAAAGTATACATTGAAACCAAAAAACTCTCAAAAGCTAATTCCAAAATTTTTTTAGCTTATTCATACTGTACATAAACATTCTTCTGCAAATATATCTGATGACAGCTTGACTTAACAAAAGCATAGAGTCTCCAGGAATTTCTAACTCTGGCTGTAATTATTCTAAGTCTGTAAGAAGCAGGGATTAAATGTGACTTATTCAATGTACTATATTAGAACAAAAATAACACCTTACATTTGTGCAACACCTTACAAATGTTTTAATATTTATTACGTCTTTTGATTCTCACAACAAGCCAAAGTGTTTAGGCAAAGCAAGCATTTTTCTCATTTTGCAGATTAGGAAACAGGGTCTGAGAGGTTAAATGTGTAAGGTAGCTTCTTAAGTGAACACACACAATCAGACCTAGATCTCAGATCTGACTCCTGGTCCAATGTTCACTCCAATGAGCCATGTTGACAATAGACAAGAGAATTGTCAGATAATTACTGCCTATATAAGAGACATCTATAGATGGACTGGCTCATGAGCTAGCATTCAACCTAGTCTAGATTTAGTTCAAACTGTAGAAATTGTCCTAAAAGGATGAAATAGTCATTAAAATAGTATGTTGTCATAAGAAATTTATGAAAATGAGGCTAGTGTCAGAATTAAATTATTTATTATGTCTTAATATATGAAATAACTTCAGGAAATAAAGTCTTAAGTTTCCATATTTTATCTCCAACTAGATAGTGTGTATAAAAGAAACCTTAAAATATCGCATAAATATCAGATAGTTCTTATTAATTTTACTCATTCATCATTGTTCATCTTAGGCTCAGAAATTAATTCCTTCTTCTCTTATCTAAAAACTAACCTATTGCATTAAAAGTATCACCATCTTTTCATACAGAAAGGTGATACCACTCACTCCATGCATAGCTAACAATATACTTTGGCTTTTTCTCCAAATAATAGCCACTCAATAAATAACTATTTGTCTTAATCACACTTCTCAACCCCCTGACCCCTTCTAGGTTTCCTGTCTCAAGAAAAAACAATGTTTGGGATGAGAATAAAAAATAGGGACTACATGAAGGGACTGCATCAGGGCCAATTAAACATACTAGCAAAGAGCCAAGGCTTTCAACAACATAATTTCCAAATTATTTTACATAAATTTAATACTATGTTCTCAAACTGTTCATTACAACCATTCAAGATAAAATCAATAAAAGTAATAAAATGATTAGCACTGGCTTTCTTCAAGTCTCAATTAAAATTCTACCTTCTGCAAGAAGCCTGTCTTACCCCAACCCAACAACTTCAGCAAAGTTGTAGCATATAAAATAAACTCACATAAATCATCAGCATTTCTATATGTTACCAACAAAGTCCAGCAGGAAGAGATAGAGAAATTCTACTTAAAATAACTGCAGACAATATAAAATACTTGGGAGTCTACCTACCAAGACAAACCCAAAGCCTATATGAACACAATTACAAAACACTTTTCACACAAAGAAAGACAGATCTAAACAACTAGAGAAATACTAATTGCTCATGGGTAGGCTGAGACAAAATAATAAAAATGGCAATTCTACCTAAGTTAATTTGCTTACTCAGTGTCATGCCAATCAAATTACCAAAGAATTATTTTATAAAACTAGAAAAATAATAATATTCATCTGGGAGAACAATAGGGCAAGAATGTCAAAGGAATCCAAAAAAAAAACTGAAGGAAGGCAGCCCAACAGTACCAGATTTCAAATGAAATCAAAAATTGGTAAGCATCAAAACAATCTGGTACTAGCTAAGAAATATAATGGTAGATTAATGGAATAAATTAGGTACACAATACATAGCAGTAAATGACCCCAGTAATCTAGTATTTGATAAACCCAAAGATCCAGGCTGATGGGATATGAACTCAACATTTGACAATTGCCAGAAAAACTATAAAGCAGTTTGGCAAAACTAAGCATTGACAATATCTCATACCATATATACCAAATCAGGTCAAAACAGATAAAGGATTTTGACACAAAGGGTGATATCATCAGTAAATTAGGGAAGCATGGAAAAATGTACCTGTCAGATCTATGGACAAAGGAAGAGGTTATGACCAAACAAGAGGTAGAGAGGATCACAGGAAATAAAATGGATAATTTTGATTACATGAAATTAAAAAGGGTTTGCACAAACAGAACTAATGCAGCCAAAATTAGAAAGAGAGCAAGAAACTTGGAAAAAAATACATCAAGTTTTTCAGATAAAGGCCTCCTTGTTCAAATAGATAGGGAACTGAGCCAAACATTCTCCAGTTGATAAGTGGTCAAAGGGATATTAACAGGCAGTTTCAGAAGAAGAAATCAAAGCTATCAACAGTCAGGTGAAAAAATGCTCTAAATCACTGTTGATTAGAGAAATTAAAACACTCTGAGATAACTACCTCACACCTATCAGATTGGCTAACATGAGAGAAAAGGAAAATGACAAATGTTGTAGGGGGTATGGAAAAATTGGGATACTAATGCATTCTTGATGGAGTTGTGAATGATTCAACCATTCTGGAGAACAATATCGAACTATGCCCAAAATGGTATAAAACTGTCCATACCCTTTGCCCAGAAGTACCACTACTAGGTCTGTATCCCAAAGAGGTCAAGGAAAAGAGAAAAGGACCTATTTGTATAAAAAAAAATTATAGCATATCTTTTTTTGTGGTGTCAAAGAATCAGAAATTAAGGGGATGCCCATCAATTGGAGGATGGCTGAACAAACTGTGTTATATGACTATGATTGAATACTCTTCTGCTATAAGAAATGATGAGTGATGGTTCCAGAAATACCTGGAAATACTTAATGAATTGATGCAAAACGATGTGAGCAGAACCAGGAGAACGCTGTACACAGTAACAGCAACATTGTAATAGTGTTCAACTCTGAAACATTTAGCTACTCCCATCAAGACCACGACCCAAGACAATTCCAAAGGTCCAATGATGAAAAATGTCAGCCACCTTCAGAGAGAACTGATGAACTCTGAGTGCAGACTGAAGCATCCTTTTCTTTACTTTCTTTATTTTTCTTGTTTTATTTTTTATCTGTTTTCTTTTGCAGCATGGCTAACATGGAAATGTTCTGCATGACTTCACAAGAGATATCAAATTGCTTGCCTTTTCAAGGAAAGGGGGGTGGGATGGGAGGGAGAGAATTTGGAACTCAAAATTAAAAAAAAATAAAAACTTGAAAAAATTTTACATGTAATTGGAAAATATTTAATAAAAAAGTTTTAAAAAATCTTAATACCTTCTCTCTGAGATTATCTCCAATTTATCTTGTATATATCTTGCTTGTACATAGTTCTTTATATGTTTTCTCTCCCATTAAATCTTGAGTTCCTTGAAAACATGGATTGCTTTTGACTTTCTTTTCATCCCCAGCACTTAGCATAGTTCCTTGCACATAGTGTGTACTTAATAGCCTAGGAAATGTCTTGTTTGCAGCCCCAGCCCTAAAAGCTATTTAAAAGTTTATAAAATGCTTCATAAACATATCATTTTATCCTTACAACAACTCTGGGAGGTAGTTGCTATTATTATCCTCATTTTATAGATGAGGAAATGGAGACAGATAGAGGTTAAGTGGGTTGCCCAGGGTCACACAGCTTATATGTATCTAAAGCTGTACTTTAACTCAGTTCTTCCTGACTCCAGGTCTAGCACTCTGTCCACTAGACCACCTCATTTCCTACAGCTAATAAAGCTGCTTCTCAAGTGAGAGAGTGAAGAAGGATGTTGCTGGATTCTGCCTACCCTCACTTAAAGCCCAGAGTGATATGTATGATGATGCTTCATACAATATGCTATGTTGGAGGCTTGGAGCAAGGAGCATGTGTCTGTCCTCTGTCCTCCCTAAACAAGACAAAACACGAGATATTTGTTCCTGTTTCTTAAAATTTCAGTATATAAAACAGCATACAAATTCACAAAGTAATGTGCAAGGGCAGGACAGCTGGTGAACAACTAGATGCCTTTCCTCTAACACAGCATTAGAGAAGAAAGACCCCTCTTTAACTCCTAGTTTATTTTTTTAAATTATTATTTTTAGGCAGTTGGGGTTAAGTGACTTGCCCAGGGTCACACAGCTAGTAAGTGTCAAGTGTTTGGTCTGAGGCCAGATTTGAACTCAGGTCCTCCCGACTCCAGGGCCAGTGCTCTATCCACTGCCCCACCTAGCTGCCCCTCCTACTTACTTTTCATCAGAGAAATATTGATGGGTATAGATTCCAGATTCTATCATGGCCAAGATTCCTCTCTGACCCTTCCTCAATCACAACAGCCACAGGGTCTAGATATGGTAGATGACTTGATCTGAGCACATTCTAGGCTCCTAAAGACACAAGCACATCTTAATTCGATTTAATAAATATTTATTAAGCACCACACCTCCTGCATGCAAGGCACTCTTAAGTACACCGTAAGAGAATTTTTTTCTTAGCTCTCACTAAGTTATATAAGAGCTCAGTTGTTCTATCATAGCCGGAAAAAGGATCGAAAAGTACCCTGTTCTTGATGGAACACTGAGAAAAGAGTCTGTTGGGCACAAACAAGGACTTTTTGCTCATCATCCTTCAAGTCATTAATTTTAATCTATTTTTTTCAAATCTCTGGAAATTTCTACAGTTACTTAGCTGACCAGAAATAGGTCAACCACCAAGATGAATCTATAGATAAGAGTGAATCTATAAATGAGGAAGAATTCATGCCACTGTTTCCTCCTTGGTAAAATCTATTTCCTTTTGTGATTCTGATTTTCATTTCTGTGATGCAAATGGGCAGGAAATCTGGCTCAGCAGCAGCCTTACCAACAAGTGAATTTGTCCCTTATGTAGCGATAGCTACGACTGAACTTCTGAACCCCAATCTATATGTCAAGGCTCTGGGATTTTGTCAGACTGAGAACTTCTTTTGGCAAGGGAGATCATAACCAGCCTATAACTTATTAGGTTGGCTGAGTTTCAGAGAGTTTCTGAGGTTCAGAGAGGTTTGACAAAGGTTTCAGAGGCTTTCTAGAAAGTGTGAGAGGAAGGATTTGAACCCAGGTTAGGGCTTCCTGATGTTAAATTTGAAATCCTGTAATATTTCCAACATCCAGCAAAAGGTCCTTGAAGGCATCAGATTTACTAAAGGATTGAGGTTCACTCCTTCACTGCTCCCAGCCTCAGCTACCCATATATCACCATACTCATGCTACCTGGCCATAAATGGCTCTAGAATACTATACTTACATTAAATCCTGAAAGATCAATGGTAATAGAAAGTTTGTCATCTCTGTCTCCTTTGGGGGCAATCTGATTAAGCAGATGAAAGTAGGCCCTGGAATCCTATAAGGAAAAAAATCAAATCAATTTGTAAGATTCAGTTTTTTACAAAAGTGTTAAAATTGTAGACATAATTCCCTTCTAAAAGGACAACATAACTGATCAAACCTCATAGGGTTGTTGAGAGGTTCAAATGACATACATGTAAAGTGTTTAGCACAATGCCTGGCACATAGCAGGTGCCATACAAACGATATTGTTGTTCTTGTTGTTATTGCTGGAAGTGACCTACAAAAGCCCAATTCAAGTTTAGGACCTTTGGGAATAACTGAATTAAAGATTGGTTTAATGAAAAAAAAAAAGAAAATTCAATTCAATTCCACAAATATAATAATGGACATTTATAAGCATTTTAAATACAGTCCTTTACAGATAATCTCATTTAATACTCCCAGCAACTCTATAACGTAGGTTGTTCTAGTTGGATCTCTATTTTTGCAGACAAAGAAACTAAAGCTCAGAGAGAGGTTAGATGTCTTGCCTAAATTCCCATAGCTAGTAGGCAACAGAAGCAGAATTTGAACCCAGGTCTTCCCAACTCCAAGACAATTAAGCCATGTTATCTCTTTTGAAGCACCTACTTCATACAAGGTTTTGTGTTAGATGCTAGGGATACAGATTTACTTCCACTTGACCCACCAGGCACAGGTATGAAGGAGACAAAGACTTCCTGACCCCAAGGAGCTTCCTGAGGGAAAATACCAGGTTTGCAGAAAAACAGACACAAACCAGAGAGACTTAACTAAACATCAGGAAAGGCCCCTTGAAGGAGGCAATATGACCTCTACACAAACAGAGGCAGGGATCCTATGTGTTAGAGGTGAGAGAACATTCCAGGCCGGGGGAACAGTCTGTGAAGAGGTGAAGAAGGAACACTGTGTGTGAGAGACAGCAAGAGATCACTTCAGCTGTACTGAAGGGAACATGAAGGTGAGTGATGGATAATCTACCTAGAAAGGAAAGTTGGGCCAGATTGTCAAGGCTTCAAACAGAGAAGTTTGCATTTATCCTAGGGGAAACAGAATCACTGAGGCTTTTTGAGCAGAAGGAGGTGGTCAGATGTGTGCTTTAGGAATATCAATTTGGCAGCTAGTGGAGGGCAGAGACTGAGTGCAGAGAGACTGATTAGGAGGCTATTCCAATAATCCAGGTGAGAGGTACTAAGAGCCCAAACTGGGTTGCCATATAAGTGGAGAAAAAGAGTGACTTTAACAGATGCTTTGGAGATAATATCAACAGAATTTAGTAACAGGCTGAACATAGCGGGAGCGAGTAAAAATGAAGAGTCAGAAATAACTCTGAGGTTGAAAACTTTGGTGATTTCAAGGCTGGTGGCACCCTCAACCGAAACAGGGAAGTTTGGAGGAGCTTCATGGCACAGAGGGGTGGACAGGTAACGAATTCTGTTTTGGACATATTAAGATTAAGATGGCTATGGATCCAGGTAGAAGTGCCACCTGGATGTGCAGTTAGTGGTGTGGGATTAGAGCTTAGGAGTTGTCTGTGTGGAGATGATAACCGAACCTATAGGAGCTGAAAAGACTACAGAAAGACTGTGAAAAGAGAGAAAGAGCCTGAGACAGAGTCAGGGGCCCCAGAGATTAAAAATCAGCACAGATACTGTCCTCAAGGACCTTACAAACAAATACAAGAATAACAGGCAACCAAATAACAATGATTACAAGTGAAAGTGCTGTTGTCCAGTCATTTCAGTGGTGTTTGACTCTACATAACCCCATTTTGGGATTTTCCTGACAGAGATACTAGAGTGGTGGTTTGCTATCTACTTCTCCAACTCAATTCAGGGATGAGGAACGGAGGCAAACAGGATTAAGTGACTTGCCCAGCGTTACACAGCTAGGAAGTGTCTGAGGCCAGATTTGAACTCATTAAGACGAGTCTTCCCGTTTCTAAGCCAGGTGCTCTACCCACTGCGCCTCCTAGCTACCCATACAAGCAAAAGTGAGACACATGCAAATGAGAGGTCCAGGGAAAATGCTATTTAAAAAAAAAACAGAGGAGAAAGGTCACTTTAAATAGGGGGAGAAGGAAGGAGAGGGAAAAAAAAAAAGGAAACTTGTCATGAAAATCTTCATTGACTCTAGAGCACCTAATTTGGGCCTTAAAGGGGGTGAGAGTACTAAAAGGAGGCAGGGGGGTAAAATTCACCTGAGACACAGAAGAAAATAGTTTGATCAAAGGCAGTGAGAAATGAGAGAGATAGAATGAGAATTGTAGATGGAGAGAGGCCTGGGATGTTAAGGGAATGAGAAAAAGGTGGAAAGGGTAAATTGAGTCAAGGTTATGGAGGGTCTTCATTTTGAAGAGTAGGAGTTTATACTTCATTCAGAAGACATTGACTGGAAAGGTCCTGGAGGTTTTTTGAGTAAAGGAATGGAATAAACAGATGAGTGCATCAGGATGACTATTTAAGACAACCTGTGAAGGATGGAATCCTAGACTCAGACTCAAATCAGGGGAAAATCATATCTTTTATCTTCAAGCACATACAAACCTCAGCCAACGAATCTTAAAGTAACATTGGAGTCATTCTGAATTAGGTGAGATCCTTTATGTTAGATAAAACTTGCAATGTATTTTCTTATCTGAAAGCCAAAATAGTTTCCTGCAGGAAAATGGTTGCCATCTTTGTATAGAAAGATGAAACTACTGACCCCATGTGGGATTACACATGAACTTTAAATGACATGAGATGTACAAACGATAAATTGCTATAGTATTTCAAAGCACATCTCCAGCTGGGATGATCAAGGAAAGCTCTCCAGAGGAGATGGGATTTGAGCTGTGTGTAGAACAACAAAGACGATTTAGATAAGCAGAGAGAAGAAACATGGGGAGCTGACTTTATCCTGAGTCTTCTAAAAGAGGTTCCGAGTTAGGCCCAGCATAAATATAACACAAGGGCCCCTCGTTTTCTTTTTGCTGCCCTTTATAATGTCAATTTGTGAAATAAGATATTTGAAGAAAAAGGCAAACCTTAATATCCTGACTGAAGTTGCTGATTTTTTGCCATCCTGCATTAGTCAGATGAAAGTTCACCCATCGGAGCAAGAGTTCTTCTGGAGAAAGTTTCATGAGTTCTTCTAGTTCTTCTCGCTCATTTAGTAAGGCAATCAGGGCTAAAAAGGGAAAAAATGATAACTTATTGCTATTTTAGGGCCAAAAGTATGCTTTAAGGGAAAATAATATCTTTTTTTTACCTTCATTCCTGGAAATCTCAATATCAGCAAAAAGACCAACTTTAATGATCTGCCATAGAAGTCCCAAAACCAAGTGAGGTTTTCCTTCCTTCAGATCTTGGGCTCCAATATTGACTACAGTACAGCCGATGGCTGATGCTGAATTCAATGCAAGATTTAAGTTTTCCTAATTTTAAAAGAGAAATATTACCAGTCAGTTCCTTCAAAAGTCTTTCTACACATTTTTAAAAATTAATAAAAAGAATATGTTACAGAAGTATCAAATATCTTTTATATTTCACTTCAATGATCTATGTTTTCACTGGTGTGGATACTCTATCCGATAATACATGCTGCAAACCCATTTAGAACTTAGTAAATTGTTCAGCAGTCACCTTAGGAATGAGTCTCTCTAAACTTAGCTGGACAGAAAACATTCAGTCTATTAATGATACCAAATTCAAAACCTCTCCAGGTTGGTAAAACTTGCAGGAACATAGGCTCTACTGCCCCAGCCTTTGAAAATCAGGGTCACCGCCACACCATAGCAAAATTTTAGTGGAGGTATGTATTTCACAATTAACCAAAATTCAATATCACCAAATCTCTACTATTTAGAATTAAGAAAAATGATAAGGCAATTAAGTTTAAATAACAATAAAACTTAAATAATCCTTTAGACAATGAATCAGGAATTCTTGACTTTTTTTAAGTCCCAAACTCCTTTGGTAGTCTGGTGAAGCCTATGGATTTCTTTTCAGAACAATGTGTTTAAGTGCACAAAATAAAATATGTGGTATTTCAAAAGAAACCAGCTATGTTGAAAAAGGGGTATCTACCAATTGAATTACCAAAGAATTATTTTACAAAGCTAGAAATAAATAACAAAATTCATCTGGAATAGCAAAATGTCAAAAATATCAAAGGAATCAGTGGGGAAAAAATATGAAGAAAGATGGCCTAGTAGTATCAGATTCTAAACTATGTTACAAATCAGTAATCATCAAAACAATCTGGTACTGGCTAAGAAACAGAGTGGCGGATCAGTGGAATGGATTAGGTACACAAGACACAGTAGTAAATGACCACAGTAATGTGGTATTTGATAAACCCAAAGGTCCAAGCTGATGGGGCAAGAATTTGACAAAGTTGCCAGAAAAACTGTAAAGCAGTTTGGCAAAACTAAGCATTGACCAACATCTCACACCATATACCAAAATAAGGTCAAAATGGATAAATGATTTAGACATAAAGGGTAATGTTATAAGGAAATTAGGAGAGCATGGAAAAATGTACCTGTCAGATCTATGGATAAGGGAAGAGTTTATGACCAAACAGGAGATAGAAAGGATGACAGGAAGTAAAATAGATGATTTTGGTTACATGAAATTAAGTTTTTGTATAAACAAAACCAATGAAAACATGATTAGAAGGAAAGCAGAAAGCGGGGGGGGGGGATTTTACAGCAAATTTCTCTGACAAACTCCTCATTGCTCATATATATAGGAAACTGAGCCAAATTTGTAAAAATGAGAGCCATTCTCCAGTTGATAAGTGGTCGAAAGATATGAACAAGCAGTTTCAGAACAACAAGCCAAAGCTATCAATAGCCAGATGAAAAAATGTTCTAAATCACTACTGATTAGAGGAAGGCAAATTAAAATAACTCTAAGATACCACTTCACAACTATTAGTTTGGCTAATATGACAGAAAAGGAAAATGATAGATGCTGGAGGAGGTTTGGAAAAATAGGGACACTAATGCATTCTTGGCGGAGTTGTGAAGTGGTCCAACCATTTTGGAGAACAATTTAGAATGACATTGAAAGGGCTTTAAAACAGTAATACCACTACTAAGTCTCTACCCCAAAGAGATCAGAGAAAAGGGGAAAGAACCTATTTGTACAAACATATTGATACCAGCTCTTTTTGTAGTGGCAAAGAATTGAAAATCAAAGACATGTCTATCAATTGAGGAATGGTTGAACAAGTTGTGGTGTATGATTGTGATGGAATACTATTGTGCTATAAGAAATTATGAGAAGAATAGAAGACTTCCTATGAAGTGATGCAAAGTAAATTGAGCAGAACCAGGAAAACATTGTTCATAGTAACAGCAACATCATAACAGTGATTAACGGTAAAAGACTTAGCTACTCTGATCAAGGCCATGATCCAAGACAATTCCAAAAGACCCTTGATGGAAAACTGCTCTGCACCTCCAGAGAAGGAATTAATGAATTCTGAGTACAATTGAAGCATTTTCTTTATTTTTCTTGTTTATGTGTGTTTTTTTCTTTCACAACATGGCTAATATGAAAATATGTTTTGCATGACTTCACATGTATAATCAATACCTATCACTTGCCTTCTCAAGTGGTAGGTAAAGTCCTGGAAGGAAAGAATTTGGCACTCAAATTTTTTAAAGATGAAAGTTAAAATTTTTTTTCAATGTAATCAGGAAATATTTAATGAAAAGTAAAAGTATTTTAAAAAAACACAGGTATCAAAATATGTTTAAAAACAAGTTCATAGACCCCAGATTAAGAACCTCCGATATGGATCAATTAAACTTAATCCAGTGTAGAGATAAGCAAACTTTTGTGTTGGTCTCAAAATGGCACAAAAAACAATGGTTTTGTGTTGGCAGATCTGAATAACAAAAGAAAGAATATAAATGGGAGAGGGCTCAGTGAGATGGAGGGCAATAACCACCTTTTGCTTTAATTCTTAGCTTCATTTAAGGATCTTGAGGGAGATGAGGGGCAAGACTAGGTGACCCAGGCTCCACAAAACTTTTGTGGATTTTTTCCAGAAAGGAGGAAGGAGGGGAAAGCCCGTGAAATGGGTTTTGGGGACACAGGCTCATAATCAGGGATATAATCAGAATTAAAAAGACTTTCTTATCTCCAAGTCATATAGTTGTCAGGGACCAACAGTTATAAGTCTACTAGGAGAAAAACAATCAAAAGAATGGAGAACCTTATTCTGGGACATTCTTCTAATTACTACTGGCAGCCTAAAAATGTGTGGTAGCTAATAGCCCCAACTATGAACTAAAAGAGCAATGGCTTGCCCTTATCAGGAGGAGACTGTCTAGTTACTACACTTCAGAGAAGTTTAATGTGAGGAAGACCAGATGGCTCCAAAGAGCTTCCGCCTAGTGGATGATAGATCATCAGGAGAGACACCCAGTAGAGAGAATCTAGGGGCAGAGATAAGGGAAAGCTCAGTAGAGAGAGGTGATGTCCTATACAGTAGCCATACAATAGCATCACCAGAGAACTTTTGTTAAGTCTATTACATGCAAGATAACACACAAAGATAAAAAAAAAACATCCCCTGCCTTTAAGGAGTTCACATTCTACCTGGAGGAGAAAGCATGTCAATTTTAGTGAGGCCGGTTTGGCTAGAATAAAGAGTACATGGAAAATAGCAATGTGAATAATTCTGGAAAGTCAACATGGAGCCATTCTGGATGATAGGCTGAGGAGTTTGTGTTTTTCCACAAAGGTAGCAGATTGACATGGTCATAAGCAACTAGGTCACTGGACTTGGAGTTACAAGTGAATTCAAATCCTGCCTCAGACACTAATTAGCTGTGTAACCCTGAGAAAGTCATTTAACCTCTCTCAGTTTCAGTTTCCTCATCTGTAAAATGGCAAAAATAATAGCACCTGTCTCACACTGTTGTTGTGAGGGTTAAATATGATAATATGCATAAATCACTTTACAAACCTTAAAGCTCAACATAATGCAAGCTATTATTGCTCGTGCCTTGTAAGATTATTTGGCAACTGTGTGAAAGATTGGATTGGAGAAAGGAGAGGAAAAGAGAAGAGGTGAGAAGAGCAGAGAGAGAAGAGAAGAGAAAAGGTGAGAAGGGAAGGGGAGGAGGGAAAGCTAGGAGGCTATTACACAGTTTAGGAAAGAAGTGATGAAGGCCTGAACTGGGGGTTGCTTCATGAAAATGGATATAAGAAAATAGCTGCTAGTAAAATTTTTGGTGTAGAAATCACCAGGACAAATGCCTAATTTGCTATCATATTATTATCTCTTACATGCAAACTGCATGGAATTCGTTCCTATTATCGCATCCTAACTTTAAGGAAAATACAAATCCATATGTTCGCCCCTCATATACCGAAGTATAGACTTTTTCAATCAGCAACAAAATCCTGGTGGATCAGAATGTAGAGATGATCTCAAACCATCAAAAAACCTAGTTTTTAGCCTTGCCTTTATTACTTATTAGATCCATGGACTTGAAGAAATTATTGGCTTCTATAAGCTTTAATCTCTTTATCTGCTCATTTTAAGAATGAAAATCTGTACTACTTACCCCACACAGTTGCTGTGAGGATCAAATATAAAGCTCTTTGTAACCTTAAAGGGCTATTTAGAGTTATTAAGATGCCCATGTATTTTCTGAAAATAACAATTAATTTTTTCATCCCAGAAAAATATGGAATAACTCTTTTTTTCTCTTTAAAGTATGCTATCCTCTTTTTTTTTCCTCTTTAAAGTAGCTATCTCCAAAAGAAAAAAAAATCTGCTTTAAGAATGCCATAAAGTTACATACTGAAATCTACCTGCAAAGAATAACATTGATTTAACATATCTTTGCTCATGCCTTTTGCTTTTCCCCTCATTGGGGCTTCTAATATCATGGCTTATATTTCAATGATGACAAAAAGGAAAGTGAAGAACAAAAACTTCAGTCTGGGGGAGGTGATAAGGAAATAAAGATATTAAATTTGAAAAACCTGGACTTGAGCTGACTCATGACTGTTTTCCTCAATTATCCCCAGGAAATGCTGAAATCAAACTGTATACTGAAAATCTTTTCCAAAGACAGAATGTCCTATATTTACATGAATCATCTGTATGCAGATGGGGCCTTCTTTCAGTTGCCATTTGGTATTGATTAGTAATCTAGATAATCAGAACTGAATGCAGAAAATGCTAACAAGATATGGCTTGAAGGGTTTAGCTTTTTATATATATATAAAAGTTAGAGGTTTTTTTTTCTTCCCTCCCCCCCAAATTTCAGTTAAAAAACTATTCTGCTTAGAGAAATGTCCAACCTGGCACAGTCCTCTCGTGATCTGAGATATGTCTCTCCCTATAATATATTTTGAGTTAACATTTATAGGATTTTTAAATAGAGAAAATTTTGCCATATTAGAAAACAGTTACAAGATTTAGGGTAAGGCAAAAGTTAATATTTTGCTTCATCAGTCCAGAACAATAGTCACTTAATCTTGGAAAATCCTAAAACTACTCAAACCCTCTGACCACTCCCATCAAGGACTTTCCACTCCCTCCCGTTAGTCACCAGTAACCTGAAATCACCAAGAGATCTCCTCAGTAGGCCTAATCACTTTAGGAGAAGGGAGAAAGCAATCATCTTAATTAGACATGAAGTACTTCTTTCCCTAGGCCTGGTTCCCACCCCTAATCCATTTTCTGGGCCTTAGCTTTTGTTCTTGGACTTTCCTAAGCTTTCCTAAAAGAAAGGCTTAAGAGGAAGGGAGAAAAGGATATTAGTGGAGGGCACTGTTTCCTGAGAAGTTTACTTAAGTACTAATAAACTTTCTTTCCTTCTAGCAAGCCTGGAAAATATTTTAGACTGGAGAAATATTTATTTCTTAATATTTCTATTGAACTAATGAAAAAGCTTTCATGTGCTTCCACAAAGGTCAAACTACAGTAAATTGAGAAAGGGCCTCTGTTGGTTTATATTGATATCATTTTATAGTCATTTTTTTCCTACCCTAGGAACGTTAGAAAGTCAACTGCTTCTTATGAATCTTAAAGAGTTTCAATGTTTCCCCAAGGCCATGTTTCAATTCCTAGAATTGACTTCTCAGGGAGGAATTAAAACTTCAGGTACCTGGACACCATTTCTCCAGTAAACATCCATCCCACATGCAATTCTCCCTATTCCCTTCTATTCCAGTTTCCTGAATCAATTCTGCTGAGATGAGCTGGAAGGAAAGAAGGAAGGAAGGAAGGAAGGAAGGAAGGAAGGAAGGAAGGAAGGAAGGAAGGAGGAGGAAGGAAGGAAGGAAGGAAGGAAGGAGGGAAGGAAGGAGGGAAGGAAGGAGGGAAGGAAGGAGGGAAGGGAGGAAATGGCACAAAAGATGGAAGGAAATGGAAAAGAAGGAAAGAGGAAAGGATGGAAGGAAGAATGGAAAGAAGGAAGAAAGTAAGGAAGGAAGAAGGAAGAGATTTATTAAGTGCCGCTTATGTTCCAGGCTGTGCTAAGCACTTTACAAATATCTCATTTGATCCTCACAACAACAATCTCTATTATCTCTATTTTACAGATGGGGAAACTAAGGTAGACAGAAGTTAAAGGATTTTAATAATTTGAAACTGCACTAAGACTTTTGGGACACTGTGTGTGTGTGTGTGTGTGTGTGTGTGTGTGTGTGTGTGTGTGTGTAGATATATACACATACAGATATATAGATATATATGCTTCACATGTCATGAAACCATGATACAAAGAAACTCATATAGTCTATTGCTATCCAATAGAAAAGGTCTACTTCACTGGAAAAGTCTGACTACTTACAGAAATAGTGAAAGGTGTGAGTTTCTTCTTATTAATGGCTCTTTCATCAATTGTATCTGGTTCAGATAAGTTGATCATTTTGCTAAAAGGATGGAGGAGAGAGTAAACAAAAATTATTGCTTCAATTGCTTCATTTACTGCCACAAATGTTTATATTTAATTCTTCTAAACAACCTTTAAGACAGACATACTAATGAGCTCCTTTTAAGAATTTCTTCATCGTAAAGGAAGTCAAAAGCTAAATCCAACATGTTTTCCACCTAAAGAAAATTTTATTCTTCACTTCAACAATAGTTTTAGCATTTTAGAGACAGCTAGGTAGCACAGTCTATAGAGTACTGAAACTACAGTCCAGAAGACCTGAGTTGAAACCTAGCCTCAGTTAATTACTATCTGTGTGACTTTGGGCAAGTCACTTAACCTCTATCTGCTTCTGTTTCTTCATCTGTAGAATGGGAATCATAAAAGCACCTACCTGCCAAGGCCTCCCAGGCTTGTTGTGAGAATCAAATGAGATAAAATTTGTAAAGTGCTTTGCAAACCTTAATTGTTTTGGTTCAATTGTTTCAGTTGTGTTTGACTCTTTGTGACCCCATTTGGGGTTTTCTCAGCAAAGATACCAGAGTGGTTTGCGATTTCCTTCTCCAGCTCATTTTACAGATGAGAAAACTGAGGCAAAGAGGGTTAAGTGACTTGCCCAGGGTCACACAGCTAGTAAGTGTCAAATTTGAACTCGGGTCTTCCTAACTCCAGACCCAATGCACCACATAGCTGCCCTGCAAACCTTAAAGTACTTTATAAAAGCTAGTTACTGTTATTTACTTTTAGTCTGTGTGAACAAAGCCCTACATTCTCCTCGTGAGAGTTTAGCTTTTATTTCAAAAATTAACAGTAGCATATATTGACAAGAAGTAATTTCCATGGGAGTAAAATTCACAAAATCTGTTTGCTAAATGTTCTGTGTTACCATATCTACCTCAGAAATTGGAAAACGCTACAAATCAGGACTTGATTCATTGTTTTATTGATTTTTAGGCTTAAGAAAGTGATGGGAAAAACATTAATAATGAAGTTAAACTTAAAAGTGCGTTGTGTGGATAATGTTTTCTTCTAGAAAGCTGTCAAAAAATTTACCTGTACACCTCTAGATACATGCGTACACACATATATGCATACGTACATGTACATAATATATACATATATACACACATTTATATGTATATATATATATATATATACACATACATATGTATGTCTGTATCTAGGGGTATCGTAAATGTTTAACGTGTGTGTGTGTGTGTGTGTGTGTGTATGTATGTGTGAGACACATGCTCACAATGATTCATGAAAGGATCTATAATGAAATATAATGACATAGAAGTATTTGCTCTGGATTGGTGAAAAAAATACCTATCACTCAGGAAACGAGATTTTTTAAATACTTAAGTAATCATAGTAGTTAAAAATCCTTCTTGTGGCAGGAAAAAAGAAAGGGAAAGGACTATAAAATCATTGCAGGACCACAAGACTATGTCCTTAATTTCCCATCAATTTTTAATTTTCTGTTCTTTCTAGCAGCCTCTTGGCTTGTCTTTTATAATCTGCCCTGCCTACAGTCACATCTCTGGCAGATAAGTGTAAAATTGGGCCAGGATTCTTTTCACAAAGATTTCTAGTTTTTCCTTTGTGAGCTGCCGGGTTGATAAAGACAGTTGTCACCTTCACTTTGGCATCAAAAGGAATGAATTCCATGAGGGTTCCAGAAGACCCTATCCCCAGTAGACAGGAAGATGAAGTCTTGATATTCATTCTCCTAATAAAAAACCCTCCACTTGAAGTTTTTCAGAACACCTGGAGAACACTGACATCATTGACAGCATTGCTTTGGAAATATGTGAAAAGAGCAGCATTAAAAATAAAGGAACAAATTAACTTGCTGGAAACTAAAGTACTCAGTTGGGCCGCTAGGTGGTGCAATGGATAGAGTGTGTGGCCTGGAGTCAGGAAGACTCATCTCCCTGAGTTCAAATCCAACCTAGGACACTTACTAGCTGTGTGACCCTGGGCAAGTCGCTTCACTGTTTGCCTCAGTTTCCTCATCTGTAAAATGATCTGGAGAAAGAATTGGCAAACCACTCTAGTATCTTTTCCAAGAAAACTCCAAAGGGGTCACAAAGAGTCAGACACAACCAAAAACCGACTGAACAACAAAATGTACTTAATTAGCAAACCAAGAGGTTTCTATCCATGTGATTATTTTAGATAATTCATTTGCTAACTTATAATTTTCAAGAAAAATTCTTCAACAGTGTTGTAGAATATTATTATACACAATTACCTTATTATATTATCATATTATTATTCATTATTAGGCAGCTAGGTGGCACAGTGGATAGAGCCCTGGGCCTAGAGTCAGGAAGACAAGTTCAGAACTGGACTCAAACACTTACCGGGCAAGTTAACTTCTGTTTCCTCAGTTTCCACATTTTTCAAAGTGGAGATAATAATAGCACCTACCTCCTAGGGTTGCTGCGGGGGTCAAATGAGATAATAATTGTAAAGTACTTAGTACAGTGCTAGGCACATAGTAAGTACTATACAAATGTTACTGATATATCATTACAATCATATGTTGTTATACATTGCATATATTATTATGGCAGGTAGCCTTTATATGGCACTTTAAGGTTCCAAAGCACTTTACAATTATTTTACAATTATTTACAATTATTATCTCATTTGATCCTCACAACATCCCCATTTCACAGATGAGAAAATGGAGGCAGAGACCTGGTTAGTGACTTTCCCTGGGTCACGTAGCTGGTGAGTATCTGAAGTAGGATTTGAATTCAGGTCTTCTTGACTCTAAGTCCAACACTCCATCATGCACTATGCTACCTAGTTATGATAAAGAACCATCCTCTTAAAGTCAGGAAGACCTGGGTTCAAGTCTCACCTCTGACCCATACTGGCTATGAAACCCTGGGCAAGACGTTTAATGCCACAGTGTTCCATGCAGTTTTCATAGGATCATACTTTTAGAGCAACAAACAACCTCAGAAGCCAAGTCCAAACTCTCCATTTTACAGATGAGAAAACTGAGGCCAAGAGAAGTTAAGCAAGGTGTACGGGGTTACACAGCCAGTTATGTCAGAAGTGCAATCTGAACCTAGGTCTTCCTGACTCCAAGTATAGCTCTCGCTCTACCACACTATAACACCTTTTTTCTAGCACTATAAGCTACAGATCTGAATTAGCAGGTGGTGAAATACACTGTGCACAGGAATTAAGATCCAGAAGACCTGAGTTCAAATTTAACCTCAGATATTTACTAGTTGTGTGACCCTGGGCAAGTCATTTAACCTCTGTCTCCCTCAGGTTCCTCATCTGTAAAATGAGGATAACAGCACCTACCTCCCAGGGAATTTGTAAGGCTAAAATGAGACAATATTTGTAAAGTGCTTTGTAAACCTTTAAGCACTATAAAAATATTAGCTATTACAAAAGTTGCCCATACTGATGAAATCAAAAGGTTAGAATAAATAACAATAAAAAAACTTGTAATTCAAGAGAGATTTAAAACCCATAAACATTTGACCTCATCTTAAGAGTTTTGCTAAATAAATATTCACACACTAATGCCCTTAAACCCAACCACGTTCAACTTACCAAAGAAGGATGCCATCTGCAAGTGATTTAAAAAGACTGTTATCCGTGGGATCCATAGGGATTAGATGCTTGCAGTCAGGGTCATTCTCCAGGGCTTTGTTTATCCAGTTAACAAAAGCCACTTTTTCTTCCTCTGGAAAACAGTAAGTTACAAGCATAGTTATTCAGAAGTCACCTGCTCATGTAACCCTCTTCCACCATGAGCTATGGATGAGTTGCTGATATGCAGCCATGAAGGGAGTTTTTGCCCTAGAATTCCCAACATGAATGATAAAGTCACGCATCCAGAACCACAGTAACAAAGGATGACCACGAACAACAGAGAAACATATTTCAACATTTTCACACCTGTTTAAAAATGTACTAAAGCTTTGAAGAGTCTCTATGAATACTTCCATATTCTAGGGGAAAGTAAGGCACATTTCTTTAATGAGAATAATTTAAATTAATTTAATTTAGGCAGGGTTACTACTTTTCCTAATATGTGACATTTGACAAAGAATTAGAAGTAGGATTTCAACAATGATCAAAGACAATCCCAAAGGACTAATGATGAAGCATGCTATCCACCTCCAGAGAAAGAATTGATATTGTTTGCATACAGACTGAAGCATGCTATTTTTATTTTCTTTCTTTCATTTTTTTCTTTTATTTGAGTCTTTTTGTACAAAATGACAAAAATGGAAATGGTTTACATAATTGCAAAAAAGAAGAAATTTAGAGAGCAAACCTGTATCCTCCACCAAAAAATCAAGAGATCAAAAAACCTTATCTGTAGCCATCAATAAACTCCATGATTTATAAATAAAATTCAAAGATCTGCAATTGTGAGGTCAAAGAGAAATAAATCATCAAATAAAGAATCATTTTCTTGTTTGTTTGTTTTTCGTTTTTTGGTGAGGCAATTGGAGTTAAGTGACTTGTCCACAGTCATACAGCTAGTAAGTGTCAAGGGTCTGAGTCTGGATTTGAACTCAGGTCCTCCTGCCTCCAAGGCCAGAGCTCTATCCATTGCACTACCTAGCTGCCCCATAAAGGATCATTTTTAATAATTATTAGCCAGAATGTTACAGTTTTAGAATTCAGAGTATATAGAAAATAATACAGCTCTAAACTACCATACTGCTATCAATACTCAGAATTACCTGCTCAGGCTTTCTGCACGTTGTAAACCAAATTTTGCTTCTATTTTAGATTTAGACCCCAGATTTTTTATTCAGGGAAAAAAAAATGTTGCTGGGTTATCTTGTGAGCTATGTACTAATGAAAACAGGAAATTCAGGAGCTTTTGAGTACTACCAATATGTAAATCATTTAGCAACAGACCCCAGCACTGGATCTATACTATAGGATGACTGGTTTTCCTCTAATTCTAGTGTCTGGAGTTAATTACATTTTTAGAGCACATACTGAGCAGATAGCTGGAAAAAAAAATGGGATATTACCCCTCATCAAAAGAAGCCCAGTATGGATATTATCCTTGGGGTGGGGGAAATAACTTGGCTATATACATATATATATACACACACACACATACATATATATATACATACATGTATGTATGTATGTATATACACACATATACATATATACATATATATATATATATACATATATACTTACATATAGTTGTAAGCTCTTTGATCCTTTAGAGACAGGTTGCACAGGGTTTTAAATCGACTTATCTGATGGGCTGATGTGCCCATGGATTTGCTATAGGAGGGGACTGAAAAAGCTAATTCTGTGAGACAGACAATATTCTCCTCATAGCCGTTTTGTCATTTGTCATGCAGCCTCCAGCTGCACCTGAAAAGTGCTTAGCTTTATCCTTTCTACCTTTCTCTGAATAGGCCTGAAAGAAAAGTTCGTTAACTAGACAGGCAGACCAGGCCTCCATTCATTACTGTACATAGCTCTAATTATTACAAGGTACACAGTCAATGCATTGCTACTGGCGCAGCTTCTTGGATGATCACCCCCTAGTTTTTACCTGCATAAGAATGTTGTGTCCCCTCACTGGAGATGGCGGAGGTTCCTCCGATGGCAGTAATTCCTTCTCTCTTGTTGATGATTTTTCTGAATGTTTTGCTGATGTCTTTGCTTTTTAACTCCTGCATTAACTAGAATAGGTCATAAAAGAAGTTTCATTGAGAGTGAATCATGAGAAAATTTTCTGCAGAAAACAAGAGTAACTTGACTTGATTCTTTAAAGTAGAAAGTCACGTGACAGTCCATCAAATATTGATTCAAGGAAGGAAATATAAGTATGGAACACACATCTTAAAAACGTAGCTTACTATATCAGGTTGCTTGCCATCTTGGGAAGGAGAGAGGAGAGGGAGGGAGGGAGAAAAAAATTGGAACTGAAAATCTTATAAAACTGATTGTTGAAAACTACCTACGTGTAATTGGGAAAAAGAATACAATTAAGTGGCGCGGGGGGGGGGATGTAGCTTAATGTCTTGCCAAAAAATAACAATTCAGTGACACAGGTTTCCAAGCAAGCACTAAAATATTTTGTCACAAACAGAAGTTTAGGAAAGGCAATATACTTTTTAAAAAATTATTTTTATGGATACCTTCACTTTTGAGTATCACATTCATTTATGAATGACTCTGCGTACTTTACCCAACAAGCCATCCCTTGTAACAAAGACTTTAAAAGAAAAAGAGCAGTCTTGCAAAACTACATAATATGTCAACTGTATCTAGAAGCACATGCAATATTCCCCCAACTCTATAACGAAGAGGAAGGAGGTGCCATATATTTCAAATATCGTTCAGAGCTAAGCTTGATCTTTATCATTAGATATTGTTCAATTTTGGTTTTTATATTATAGACTTTATATTGATTGTTCAGTTCTTACTTCACACTGTATCAGTTCACACAACTCTTACCATGCTTATCTGAATTTTCCCAATTTATTTCTTATATTATAATAACATTCCATGATACTCAAATACACCAGCTTGTCTAGTCATTCTCTACTTGATTAGCATCTACTTTGTTTCCAATTCTTTGCTACCACTACGAAAAACTGTTGCTATGAATATTTTGGTCTTTAGCCTGCTTAAGTACAAGCATAGCAGTGGGACCTTTCCATCAAAGAATACGGACATTTTTCTTCATATTTTCCAATTATTTTTTAGCCTAATTCCAAATGGCTTTGCAGAATGGTTGAATCAATTTAATACAAAGTTCCACCAGCCAAATACTAATGTTCCTATCTTCCTGCAGCCCCTCCAATATAAACTTTTTCCATCTTTTGTCGTCTTTACCAATTTGCTGGCTATAAAGTGAAATCTCGTAGTAGTTGTTTTGATTTGCATTTCTTTTTTTGTTAGTGATCTGGAGAAATATTTTTTTTATGTGGCTGTTAGTAGTTTACAATTCTTTTGAAATGTTTGTTAAAAAAAAGAAAAAGAAAAGAAAACAGTTTATACATATCTTCTAACTACTTATCCATTAGAGAATAACTATTGGTCTTATGTATTTGTGTTAATTCTCTAAATATATTGGATGTCAGTCTCTTATAAGAAGTATCTGATGCAAACACATTGGCTAACTCTCTCAACTTTGTGTCAGTATATTTAATAAACATGATATTTATGTCTTCATTCGAGTTACTGACTAAAAAAAATTAAACAACTGAACACTAAGCACAGGTCCTTGAATACTCTGCTTAGAGACTGTCCTCCAATCTGACAATCCATTAATGACTAGTCTCTTTGGGTCTTGTCATTTAACCATTTCTAAATGAATCTCACTTTAGTATCACCTATCCCACATTTCTCCATTTTGTCCACAAAGATAGCAAGGAAGACTTTGTCAAATATTTGGCTGAAATCTGAGGTTACTGCATATGCAGCATTCCCTTGATTTAGAACTGTTGGTAAACCTGTCAAAAAAAGAAATGAAATTAGTAGGCATGACCTCTTCTTACAGAAGTCATGCTGGCTCTTAATGATTACCACTTCCCTTTCTAAACCAGTCTTTTAATGATACACTGTAAAATTGTGCCAAGAATCAAAGTCAAAACCATTTGCCTACGGCTTGTTATATTGAAAATGAGCACTGGATCTGGGATCAGAAGACATAGATTCAAATAAAATCTCTGCCACCTGGCCACCTACTGGCTTTGTGACCTTGGGCAAGTCATTTAATCTCAGTGAGCCTCACTGTCTTCATCTCAAAAAATGAAGATGTAGAATAGAAAATTCTATTTAATTAAACACTTATTAAATGTCTATGTGCAAGTCACTGTGCTGATCACCATTGATACAAAGGCAAAAACCAGTTCTTGCATTCAAGGAGTTTAAATCGTCCTTGTAAAACAAGAAAGTTCACCCCGTTCTCCTCTAGGTCATTCTTCACTCAAATGACAAAGTGATTTTCTTTATGCTTTTACATCTGACTGTGTCACTCTTCTCAACAAACTCCAGTGGCTCACTATTACCCCTAGACACAAATAGAGACTCCTCTATTTGGCATTTAAAGCCCTTCACAGCCTAGCCCCAACCTGCTTCACCACTTTGTTATACATTACTTTCTTTCATATAAAATACAGTTAAACTGGATTTTTAACTCTTCCTCATATAGATGGTACCAGATTTCCCATCTCTATGTCTTTGTACTACTTGTCTACCATGCCTGGCATATACTACCTCTTCCCATCTTTCTCTTAGAATTCCTAGTTTCCTTCAACACTCAGGTCAAGTGTCATTTTCTATATCAGTAATTATCAAAATGTCATCTAGGGAATCCTAGGGGTCACTGGGACCCTTTCAGGGGGTGTGCAAGGGCAAAACCTATTTCATAATAGAACTAAAATTTAATTTCTAATGTGGTGAATAAATTGGTGTGTATATGCTGTATTCTACATAAACAAAATCTCTTTGTGCAAAGGAGGTGGGGGTGTTCTTAATAAATTTTGAGTGTGAAGTCCTGAGATAGCAAAATATGAGAATCACTTCAAAGTTTCTCCTAATTCTCCAGCTGCTGGTACCTTTCTCCTGAAAAAATCCTTGGGGATCTATTTTGTATGTACCTGTGTATGAATACATGTTGTCTCACCCAATGGAATTATGGCTCTTGAAGTCAGCAACTATTTCACTTTTGTCTCTGTATCTTTAGTGTACATAACACAGTGACTGGCATAGAGGGGTGAGAAAAGGAAGGAAGGAAAGAAGGAGGGAGAAGAGGAAGGAAGGAGAGAAGAAAGGAAAGGAGGGAGGAAGGAAGGAAGGAAAGAAGAAAGAAATGAAGGAAGGAGAGAAGAAAGGGGGAAAGAAAAAAGGGAAGAGAGACACAAGGAAGGAAGGAAAGAGAGAAGGAAGGAGGGAAAGAAAAAAGGGAAGAGAGAGAAAAGGAAGGAAGGAAGGAAGGAGAGAAGGAAGGAAGGAAAGAAGAAAGAAATGAAGGAAGGAGAGAAGGAAGGAGGGAAAGGAGGGAGGAAGGAAACAAGCATTTATTAAGCACTTGCTATGTGCTAGGCACTATCCTAAGTGTTCGACAAATATTTCATCGAATTTTCTTATTAACCCTGGAAGAGAATTGCTACTATTATCCCCATTTTACAGTTGAGGAAACTAAAGAAAACAGAGGTTAAATGACTTGCCCAAAGCCACAAAACCAGCATGTGTCTAAGGTCAAATTTGAACCCAGGTCTGCCTGACTCCAGGTTCAGTGCTCTATCCACTGTACTACCCAGCTGCTTAATAAATATTTGATAATCGACTGACCGAGATTTAAATAGTACTTTCAGGCTTGACTTGCATCTCATTTAATCCTTGTAACAGCCCTAAGGAGTAAGCAATAGTTAGGGTCACTCTCTATCCCAGAGATAGGGAAGCTGAGCCTCAGAGGTTTTAAGTGATTTGCCCAAGGTCACATAGCTAGCAAATATCAGGTGGGATTTAAACCCAGATCTTTTCCAGACTTCCAGGTCCAGAATACCTTCCAGCATCCCACAGACCCACCTTTTCTGGGAATATAGATTGCATGCACAATACTTGTCAGTGATATCTCCTGGGAAAGTCTACATTCTGCCATGTGATTTATCAATGACAAGCATGTTACATCCCATGAAACTGCTCAAAGCAAACTCCTCAGTCCCTAGGAGAAGCTCCTATTACTTACTGATACAAACTCTTCAAAGTTTATTTTGCCATCTTTGTTGTGGTCAGCCACTGCTAGAATCTTCTCCACAATCTCTCGCACCTTGTAGCCAGGAAGGGGAAGCCTGGCTTCCTTAAAGAGGTCCTGAAGCTCATAGTCACTAACATAGCCACTGTTGTCAATATCTATAAAGGAAAATGTCAGCCATTAGATCTCAATCATTTACAGCTTTTGTTCACACATGTACCATTTCATAAAAATAATTAATTGCACTTATGTTACATACTTATAGCTACCAAACATATACAGTGTCCCAAAAGTCTTGTTTAAAACTGCCCTAAGACTTTTGGGACACCCTGCCTTTTAAGTACTCAGCCTAAGTGAGAATTGAGAACTGGAAAATGGGTTTAGCATGGGATGAAGTTTCAAATAACCGTGGGTGGAAATAGTTCAGGTGGCTGAAATAACGTCAGGAAGTAGGGGAAAGTGACAGCCATTTGGGCCAATTCTGATCTTAACCATCCCTTCTGGTAACCGACAATTGTGATGGCCTGGGATCCCAAGAGGAAAAGGCTGCATACATTAGTCACACTTGCACAGGGTCCCTTTCCTGCATATTTCTATTTCATTCATTAGTTACTTAGTGCATCATAACAGTGTTATGGTGCACTTGTATAAATTCAATCCTGTTTGAATCAGTGAGATTAGGAGTATGAAGAACAGAACAATCCTATACCAGGAGTCTGAATTTCCTGAAATAGCTACTAGAGCACAGTAAAAGGAAGGAAAGAGAGATTAACAGAAGGAGCTAACCCTATCTACTTCCTGGGTGTGAGAGGGGCTGGGCTTTATTTACTGTGCCAATCAAGGGCCCCTCCTTGGGGTTTCCTAGGGATAGGTTGTCATTTATTGACATAAGAAAGTCTCTGCACAGTATTATGCCTCTGAGTGTTTTGTTAGTGACAGAGTCACCAGAGAGAGCAACTTTGTTACCCCACATACACATTTAACCAGAAGATACTGCTACTGTAGACAATAGGTGTTTTCATCGTGACCTGCATCAGTAATAATATATTTTTTTTAAAAATGTAACTTTTTTTTAACTTTTTAGGCATTTGGGGTTAAGTGACTTGCCCAGGGTCACACAGCTAGTATGTGTCAAGTGTTTGGTCTGAGGCTGGATTTGAACTCAGGTCCTCCTAACTTCAGGGCCAGTGCTCTATGCACTGCACCATCTAGCTGCCCCTAAAAATGTAACTTTTCCACAGCAAGGCAGCTAGGTGGCACAGTGGATAGCATCCTGGACCTGGAGTCAGGAAGACCTGAGTTCAAATCCTTCCTCAGTTGCTTACTAGTGTCTGTCCTGGGGCAAGTCACTGTTTGAGGCACTGTTTGCCTTAGTTTCCTATACTGTAAAATGAGGATAATAACACCACCTACATTGCAAGGTTGTGAGGATCAAATGAGATCATATTTGGAAAACATTTAGCAAAGTGTCTGGCACATAGCAGGTGTTATATAAATGCTTATTCTCTTCCCCCTTTCTTCCCTTTTGCAATTGGCATATGTGGGAACATATAACTTGACTCATAACCTATAATGCACCAGCAAACAATCATGGCTGTGACTGAACTACCTAACAAGTCCATTGTGATATTGTCTCCTTTAGCATCGTAATACCACTTTATGAATTCAGCTTTCACTGAGACAAGATCATTAATCATCATTCCAAATACAGCATACAATGGAATTCAGTTTTATTCCAGCCAACATTTATTGAGCCCCCACTATGTGCAAGGCATTGCACTACCCTATGTGGCTACAAAGAAGTATGGTTTAAAACAGAAGGTGTGGCTTTGTTGGACAAAAAAAATTCTTTCTCTTTAAAGCTCTGTAAATTATCACATCAGTAAATACACACACTGGTAGTATTCACATTTTTGTAACACTGAACAAGTCATTTTGCTGTCAGACATTGTTCCTACAATGAATTATTTATTCAAAATATCATCAAATAAATATGCCAAGATTACACATACATGACTCATAAAGATAAGCATTCAATTGCTAAATACAGTGAAAAGAATGCTAATTCATTCCTTACATTGAGAACTCTCTAACATTTAAAAAAAATAAAATTAACAAATTGCTCCTATAAAATTAACAGGATGTTCTCTTTAATAGTATCAAACCAGAAACTGTATTTTAAAATTTTTCCTCTTCATTACTTATGATAAGAGGAGACTTTTGATGACTGTCCAGTTTTTGTCTTGAAAAGCTAAGTCTTCAGGAAATGATATACATGAACACTTAGCACAATGCTCTATAAAAAAGTATTATTAACAATAATACTGTGAAAAACCATTATACCATTTTGGTGTAAAAGTTTGTTGTAATAGTGTAATAGTTTAATTACAAAATTATACATAATAGCCCAAAGCAAAAAATACTGGAATTGAGATTCTCTCAGTAATATTAACTCAACCACAATGCAAATTATATTCTGAGGTCTAGGGAGCAAAAGGGGATATACAGGTGTGTATAAGTGTGTGTATATGTATATATACACATATATGTATATATAAATCATTTTTGTTTATTGCATGTGAGCAAAAAGCAAACATTTCCATGAAACCTCAGGTTTTAGATCATTTAAATTCCTTCTCTGGCTCTTCTTCCTCTTCCCATACCATACAGTGCTCTGCCCAAAGAAATATGAATTTTGATTGCTGAAACCTCACAAGATATTTTGAGGTTTAAAAGCTAGAATTCTTTTTTAAGGACCATGGCTTAAAACCAAATCATTCCGGCTCTCATTGAGTGGTCAACCATAGGTCCCAGACCAAGCCTCACTTGGTCATTGTTTGGGGTCTGATGGCTCAGAATGAGTATAAATAGCAATTGTTTCTGTTTTGGCCAGAAACCTTAAGGGTGTTCCCCTCCCAGATTGATTTATTTTTCTTGACTAGGAAAAAGAGGCCATTTTTTGCCTCATTTCTTATCTAGCCTTAATCACTGAATGGGTGTTGCCTCAGACAAACTGAGACCTGAGAAAGACCTTAGCTTAAAAAGGCCAAGGTTTCCCACTGCTTCCAGGGCCATCTCCAGTCATCCTGATCTATATCTTGCCACTGGGCCCAGATGGCTCCAGAGGAGAAAGTGAAGCTGGTGGCTTTGCATAGCTCTCCCTCACTTAAATCCAGTTCACTTGTAAGTCATGGCATCACCTTCCTGATTTCATGGTCCTCTTTGAGAAGGAAGGACAAACAACAACAACAATGGTGTGTGTGTGTGTGTGTGTGTGTGTGTGTGTGTGTGTGTGTGTGTGTTCTTCAAGACCGTGTTTCTATTCTCAGCTCTCTTCTTCTCTCTACATTATATCTTAGAGATCCCATTAACTCCCATGACTTCAAATGTCTCCTCTATATAGATGACCCTCAAATCTGTATCTCTGGCCTTTGTTTTCAAACTGCTTACTGAAAATCTCCATTTGGGTGGCCCCTGAGGTCTCAGACTCATTCTGTCCAAAACTAAATTCATCATCTTCACTTATAAACCACATTCTCCTCTGGAATTCTTTAGGTCTACTAATGAGTCACATTTTCTAAGTGACTCAGGTTGAAAAACTTCTAAGTCATCCTCAACTCTGCCCTCTTTCTTTCCTCTAATATCCAATAAGTCACCTGGACATAAAGGCCCTATCTTTTGCACCCATCCTCTCTTTTCTTTTCTTTTTTTTTATCTTTAGGCAATTGGGGTTAAGTGACTTGCCCAGGGTCACACAGCTAGTAAGTGTCAAGTGTTTGGTCTAAAGCCAGATTTGAACTCAGGTCCTCCTGACTTCAGGGCTGGTATTCTATCCACTGCACCACCTAGCTGTCCCCATCCTCTCTTTTCAGTTCCTATTGCCACCACCCTTACTTAGTTCTTGTGTCTCCTCCTTACTTCTTGGATTCTTACTACTGTAATAGCCTCCTAACTGGCTTCTTCCCTTCTCCAGTCCATCCTGCACACTTGGGCCAACTCTGATCATAACTCACTTCTCTCATTAAAACAAAACAAAACAAAAACAACCTTCACTGCTCAGAGAATAAAGTCTAATCAAACTGGCATTCAAGGCTTACCATAGTTTCACCCCAGCCTGTCTTTTCAGTTGTACCACATACTGTTCCTTTTCACATACTTTATGCTAGAGCCAGATTGGATTATTCACTATTATCCCCACCTGCCCTTTTTTCTCCCCAAACCCAACAACTCCTGAATTTTCTCCCCTTTGGCTTTTTCTTCTATTGTTCTCTATGCCCTCCCACTGCATTTCTATCTCTTAAAATCCTACCCACTCTTCAAAATACTGTTCAAATAGTATATGGTGATCAATTGAAGAAGCTGGGGATGTTTAGCCCAGGGAACAGAAGATTTACGGTAGCCATATTAGCTGTCTCTCAGTATTTGGATGGCTGACCTATGGAAGGGGGTTAGATTAGTTCTGCTGTGGCAGAACTGAGAGCAATGAGTTGTGTAGGGATGGATTTACATTTGTTTATCCATTATGGCCAAATGACTGCAGTCTATCCTTAAACTGTTAAGGTGTCTTCCTATGTAGAAGAAAAAGCAAGGGGTCTGGGGTAATGTATCTCTACAGATTATCAAGAAGAATGAAGGGTTCCTTAAGAAGGAAGAAAGGGTTTCAATGTCAAAGCACAGAAGGAAAAGGATGTGAAGAGGCTGAAGGGAATTCTGACTTCTATGAAGAGACTGAAGGGTGGAAGAAGGTAACAAAAGGAAAACAGAAGGACCACTGAGTATTCTGAGCTAAGCAAGAATATGAGGCTCTTTCCAAAGAGCTGGAAGTTAAACTCTCTGAGAAAAAAGTCAGGCAGTCAACCAACATTTTCTAAGTGCCTCATATGTGCCTAGCACTGTGCTAAACGCTGGGGATACAAAGAAAGGCAAAAAAAAAAAAATCCAGTCCTTGCTCCCAAGGAGCTCACAGCCTGAGGTGGAGACAATATGTAAACAAGATCAAGAGATTAGTAGATATAATAATAATATAATCAGAAAGAGGCAATAATCAAAAGAGGAAAGAGTTAGCAAAAAGGAAGATAGGAAAAGACTTCTGGTAGAAGGTGGGATTTTAGCTGAGACTTGAAGAAAGGCAGGAAAACTAGAATGATGAGAAGGGAGA